CCGCTTCAGTGACTAAGCAAACGCGAATCTCTTGTTCTCGCGAAACAGAATCTGGGGGTGATGAGGTGTTATAATAGCATCTATTGGCCTAGACTTGAGGACGGGTCGTTAGGCAGTCGTGTTTAGTATGAATTCGGATGGTTACTCACTTATGCACCCAGCGAAATGATTAAAATGTTAAATTATAACGGAAGAAGAAATTCTAAATTTCATGTCAGTGAAAAAAAAATCGCCGTCATGGATGCCGAAACGTCAATATGGTAAAGCTGACCTTAAAGTCGGGAAGAAATGTCCCGAAATCTATGTATTTATCTCAGTGTCTGGAAATCTCCTCAAGTTCTTATTTCACGAGTAGTTAAACAATTATCATCTTAGCATATTCCGAATTTCAGCTTGATTTGTTGGACTACCTTGAACTATCTCCAAGCAAAATTTTGTCGAGGGTTGTTTTCCGACCAAACTCACGTGCATGGTTTTTTTTAGGTTAGCTTGCATGCTTGGCCGATTTGGGGGCAACAATGACGAAGCGATTATTAGCATATTCATTAGCGTCACTCGGCGTGACTTCGTGTGGGTCTCGGTATCGACCAATTGAAGCTGGCAAAAGGGTGATATTTATTAATAATTAACTCGTGAAGGAGACTATTCTGCATATTTTCACTGCAAACCATAATTGATAGGAACCTTATTAATAATCGTGAGGTTTGAAAAAGTCTATAGATGTTTCAAACACCAGTTTTACAACTTTTAAAAATGCACGTAACCAGGCCTATTTTTCCAATTTCAACGAAAAGTAATTACATATCTGAGCGATATTTTAGTACATGTATAGTTGGATCATTATAAGGGAAACATTCCCTGAAAGTTGCATGAAGATTCGGTCTCCCAAACGGGAGTAATTAATTTTCAAAGATATCGCCCGTCAACGTAAACATGTACGTGTGCATGTTGTTTTATTCAAAATAAAGTGTTACGTAACCTTTCAAAATTAGCCTTCGCAACCACACAGCGTTTGGGAAGCATGGGGATGCATCCATTATTAGAGTGAGATATAGTTCGCATGCATGATTGATCAATGAGCGCTTCTTTTTTTTCTCTCTCTGTTTTCGAACGAATTTCGTTTAAATATTACACTCAGTGGTAAATAAAAAATGAAATGTCAAAATCTTGTTTTCCAAACGACCAAGGCCTTATTGATAAATTAATTATGTGTTATATTTCATCAATAGAGGGCGCTGTTCAATTGGACCGTAATCTAGAACTTTCCAGTCACACTTTTGCAGTCGCCATATGTCATGTTTTGTTAGCACGTCATCCCAAAGTCGTCAGTGAAATAAACATAACTCATCATTTATAATCCCTTTATTTGGTTATTATGGACACGCTTTGGGTTCTGGGATAAGTTTAAGGTATTTAATTTGGGGAAAGACACACACAAGTAGAACATAGTTTATAATGTACATGTGTGTGCATTGTCGTTTACTACATGTGACAATAGGGTTATTGCGTGTAATGGTACAAAATGTACATGTAGACCCACATACAAGGCTGGTGTCATCGATCCTGTTTTAAAAATGCCTGATATCATGTGATTATTTATGATTGCTTAACTTCAATTATAAACAAAATTGTTGTTGATTCATACTTACAATTTACAACTGTTTAAAGTACATTTTGTATTTGTTATGGACAGATTAAACCGTGTTCACCCGATTACACATACAAGCCTGTCAAGTCTGAAGTTAAGATTTGGTACCCGACACCCCGTCCAAGGCCTATTTTTCCAATTTCAACGAAAAGTAATGAATATATCTCAACGATTTTAGCACATACTTGGATCATTAAGGGAAATAAATCCTGAAAGTTGCATGAAGATACGGTCTTCCAAACCGTAGAAATTAATTTTCACTCGCCAACGTGAAGATGTCTGTGTATATTTAGTTTTATACAAAATAAAGTGTTATGTAATCTCTAGAAATCGCCCTTCGCAACCACAAGGCTGTGTGTACAAACGCGAGTGCAGATTATTCAAGTCGGGAATCGACGTACGCGCATATTGGGGCCGAGGATGAAGGAAACTTTTCCGAGTGTTATTATACCGCGCGCTACACGTAACCCCTGAACGGTATGCGGTAGTCAACCCCGGGGGTGCACTGAACTAATTCAAGCGAGAATTTCTACGCCAGCTGATTAGCATAAAAAGTGCCCCCACAATTTCTTTTGAAAACGGAGACCGTTTGGCTTTAAAAACGGTGGATGTGTTTAAATATACACAAGGATCAACTCCCTGGTTTTGGGGCTTCAATCTGAGGGCAGGCTTGATAAAATCACGGATGAAAAACTGGGTCCTATTTGCCTGTGAAAGTGGAAGGGTGCCACTCTTCAAATGGCTACATTCAGGCTTGGGAACTATCACTTTTCGGGAGGTGATTTTATTTGGGTGTGTATATTTAAAAATGTAATTGGCTAATGTACGTAAAATTGAAAAGAAATGAAAAGATGAAAGACAAGACAATAATTTAATTTTTGTTTCAGAAACCCCAGTGATGTTGGCTTTCATGTTACTTGGCCCTGAACTTTGTTGATTTTACACTGTTTTCAATGGGGCTTGAATTAGTACAGTGGACCCCCGGTGGTTTCGTTCGTACCCCCACCCTGCAAACAGGGCGCTGGGAAGGCTCCGGTGAGCTTCACAGAATCTTATGAAGGGAGTGGGGATGGCATTCTGGGTAATTTATCATGACCTGTGCATAAACAGGTGACTGTGGCAGTTTAAGACCGTATAGTTACCCAATGCGTGCAAGTGCTATCCGAAAACTTCATAGAAATGCACACATTCCATACCGGATGTGATTTCTTTTTCATTGCGGACCATGTGGACAAAATTTGAGCAGTCGCATGATATGCAAGTTGACCCTTTGTGAATTCAAAACGCGGGAGCCGAGCGAGAGACGGGAATTGAAAATTTACATTACATTTGAAGATCTTTCTATACAATTATTACGCTTTTTCAACCCCAAAAGAATGCCTGTGGCGACCCAGTCTTAACGGCCGTTTAAAACCTTGCAGGGTCGTGGCCGTGAAGACTTGCATGTCACAGGTCAGGCAAAATCTATCCAATCACAGCGTAAATTCATCAGCCCTTCCCAGCGTCCTAGCTGTTTGAAGGGCGGGCGGGGGGGGGGGGGGGGGCTATACGAGCGAACGCCGGTGGTACACGGCGGCGCGCGTAATTTTTTATTCCTAGGAGGGGGTTAGGGGCAATGTCATGAATAATTCATGTTTATACATGAGAACGGACAATGACATCAACAGCATTGTTGTTTGTTACTCAACTAGTTACAATACATTAAAGCATTTTAAAGAATGGTTGTCGTCGAGCTACCACACAGTAGCCTAGTGGATAGCGAGATGAGCTATGGATACAAAGATCCCTGGTTCGAATCCACGTCGTCGCTGCTCATTTGCATCAGCTATTTTTCTTCTCCAAATTTATCACTGAGATAATTTTAAATTAAGGGGAAAATAGAACGAGAACCTAAGTCTTGCAATGATTCAAAGGAAAAACTGAATTATTCATGACATTGCCCCTAACCCTCCTAGGAAAAAAATTACGCCGGCGGCGCAGGTGGGCTTAAGCCGTCTAATTACTGAAGTTCAAGTCTACTATAGACCAATAATCATGTTGCGGCCATCTCTATTTTTGCCCATTCAAATCAACGTAACCAAAGCGAGGCTGGAAGGAATAATTAACTCTCCGACGCAGAAACAAGCCCTTTTGGGGACTCAATTTGGTTAATTAGGCTACCTTTATTTAAAAAAATTTCAAACCAATTCTGGTGATCTTTCATGATCCTAGCCAGAGACACCCTCTACGGATATATGCAGTCACCTTTAGTGTCTGACCCCGGGTCAGGCATATCTGAGCCTGACAACCTGGGCTACCCATATACACGTGCACAAAACAAGGTCACTTGCGGGTAGCCATTGCACGACTTGACCACAGACTATGTATACAACATCTGTTTCCTGTCAATGACCTCCTTATTTATAGTCTACAGACATGTCGACATTGTGTACATAATAAATACAGTGTTGTGTAGCCTCAAACCAAGGCGCTACATATCTGGGTCCCCGGAGGGATCCCTTACTGTAAAGGTGTTAGTAAATGGGCTTTCTGCGTCGGAGTGTTAAGGGTGCGCGTCTGCAATAAAATTCCCATAGACACTAGTGCTAAATGCCCATACTTCAAAATTCATTTAAAAATACTCAGAACTCTCACAGGTATTCAAGCTGCACAGAAAAATGATGATCAACATGTCATCTTTCATTTTCTTTTCAATTTTGGGTGGGTTGACCATTGACTTTTTGAGATATTCTCACCCAAAGAAGAACACCCCTAAAACGAATGATGTTTCCCAAACTGGAAAAGTAGCCATTTTGAAAAAGAATCCCTCCACAACATGGCTAAATAGCGCCACTTTCGGGCCCGGTTGCATCCAAAATGCTCAGAATTGGAAGCTCCAAGTCCAGGCCAGAGGTTCAGTGCCACATGTCTTCAATTCCCCAATTCCATGGTTCTCAGAACTCTCTAATATAGAATATTTTGAGGGTATAACTTTTATTCATGAGCTCGGCGGACAGATTTTTGGCCTATTTACAGGCGTGCACCCTTAAGCCTACAATTGTGGATCAGTGTCCTGTGGGTTACCCTCCTCAAAAAAAGACTGAACAAATCCACAAGGTCATCAGATGAGATGTTATCTTGTTTGACTTGCCTAAGTGAGACCGAAGTCTGCTCGGTTTGGGTCATGTTCCCTGTATCCAATAACAGTACTGAATGATACGGGGTTTGTTTGTGCAAAGGCTCTTAGGATACAGGGAACATGATCCAAACCGAGCAGACTTCGGTCTCACTTAGGCAAGTCAAACAAGATAACATCTCATCTGATGACCTTGTGGATTTGTTCAGTCTTTTTTTGAGGAGGGTAACCCACGGGACGCTGATCCACAATTTGTAACAGGTGGGTAATGAGTTGAATCTGGGCCGGTAACCGGAGTTCATAGGCGAGTGAATGTTACCACCTGCCCGACATTTATCTTTTAGTTTACCTATTTTTTTTTTTTTTTTTAGTCTCCTCTCGAAACATCTCACCGTGAGGTATTAGCCTGTGAGTCATGGAACGTTACGAAACGCCTGATCTACGAGTAACTCTTTATGAAAATGGAACTTCGATTCGAGACATTGCTAACGAGAAGGTTAAAGACAATGAACCAAAAAGAGAGGTAAGAAATGAGAGCAGAATACAGTGGCGTAGCAAGGTCAGTTGAAAAGGGCACTTGCACCTCCATGCTGAAGTGTAGACACATTTTTATTCTACAAACATAATAACACACTCCAACTCCAAAGCGAGCAGTGACTGGGAAGTGTTGAAAACAAAAGAGTTAAAAGTCCAAAATCTACTACTTTAGAGCGACGACTATACGCCGGCAGCTAGGCAGCTAGCCAGTATAGAGGGTCAGGGATTGGTTTTTAGACTTTATTTGAGTGGTAGAAGGTTGATTGCGAGCAAGTTGAACGTGACCACAGCTTTGCAACCAGCTACCCGGTGGTTACACGAGTTGCGGGGTATTCTGAAACGACGTTTCGAGCTCAAGTCCACGCAGTTTGAAACACACGCACACACGGCGGAAGCTCACTCACACGACGTTTAAGCTCACACACACGACGTTTCAAACTCACGACGTTTGCCTGTCCCTTTTAATAATTCCAATAATTCTGAGTTCAGGCCAATAAAAAAAAGGAATTTTTAACCAGAATTAATTTCTTGGGCTGATATTTGGACTTAATATCCCTTACCTAAAATACTTCAATTTGCGACACATCAACACACCTTGGAAATTACTAGTTTTTTTAAAGTAAAATCCATATATCCATTTTGTGATAACCTTGTATTCACCTATAGAAATTGCTCTGTGCAGACTTATACAGTCTTTTGTTCCCTATTGTGCAAATGTCTCCAGAGGGTACCGTGTAACAGATCACGACGTTTGAAACTCACACACAGTACACACACGACGTTTAAGCTCACACACACGACGTCAAACTCACGCACACGACATTTGCCCGTCCGTTTTAGAACACCATAATTCTGAGTAGGCCAATAAAATAAATAGGCCCAAAGGTGCCTACGCCGGACAAATCACGATTTGCATGCCCTCCAATTCTCCGTTATTATTGGAGTATTGTGAGGGCCATGAACTTGAGGGTTTGTACAACAGAAGGGTGGAAGCCAGAGGACTGCGAGCTTGTATTTCTGTTAAATTCGGATGAAATTAGCCTCTAACATTGGTACATTTTGCAAAAATGGTTGGAGCGTAGGCGTCATTTTAGGGTTGATTATCTTGAGATGGAGTTGTCTCCCAAAAGTGATATTTGTTCAACCCTAAAAAACGAACAGAAAATGAAAGATGATGAAATAAGCTTAAATTTGATGTATATTTCAAACACCTTGGAGAGTTGTAAGTATTCCTAAGTGCGCATAACTATCATTAATGTTTATAGAAGTTTATTTACTGGTCTGTTTATTTACTGGTCTTTTTATTTAAAATAAAATGACGTACCGGTAACGATTTAATAAAATCGACTCCGATTGGTCGCGGAAATCAGAAAAGCAGATTGAACGTTTTGTTGAAGTTCACTTTTCTACTTTTTTCTGGGTTTTTTTGGCTACCAGAAAAGCAGATTGAACATTTTGCTAAAATGCATATTTCTACTTGTCTGCTTTTCTGCTACAAGAAAAGCATGTTAAGCTTTTAGCCCTTCCCTGGCGGTTCAAAATGGGACATCTGCTTTTCTGCTACCAGATTGAACGTTTTGTCACGATGGTTCAATTTAGCGGCCATCTGCTTTTCTGCTACAGAAACTGAGCAGATTGAACGTTCCCGAACGCAACTATGCCAATGTAGTACCCACCAAAAATGGACAGTTCTAAATATCACAATGTTATCATTGTTCACAGATTTTCCATTTGGTTTGAAAATGGAAACTGGGCCAGTTAGCAACTTAGTGAATTTGAAGCTCATCAATACTAAGGTTTGGGAAGACTACTTGATGATATCTGGAGACAACGTAAATGCGCACAATTTTCGGGTCTAATTGTAGCCATTTTGGATCGTTACTATGTCCTCATGATTATTAAGTCACTTATATGTTTAAGAAAATGTTATTTAAGTAAGGTTTTTAATTAGAATCACCAAAATAAGGCTTTTCAAAAAATTAAAAGTAAAGAATATACCCTAATATGGTAATTAATATAGGCCTACTGCAGGGATTAAAAATGTATGCAAATTAGGTATAGTTAGGGTCAAAATTAAGGGTGGCATCCACCTACATTGTCTTCTCCACCCTTTGACTGATTGATCTGACATGGTTGCTTGCTATTACCACAAAATGCCGTCCAAGATGTAATATTCCACTTTGGCTGGTCCACTATAAGCCACGAAAAGACTAGAGTTTGTTTAGCGACAGATGAAGAAACCCCTTCTAGGCCTATTTAGATCAAGATTGTGTTATCGGTAGTTGGCACCGATTTTACTACAGTATAAGACATGCTATTTGAAACGTCTTGTTTTTTTTAAAGGATGTAGATGATCCATTCTACCTCTACGACCTCGGCGATGTAGTGACCAAAGACAAGTTGTGGGCGAAGTTATTGCCAAACGTCGAAGTATTCTTTGGTAAGTGGACTTTAAATACGCACCTATGTGCTTCCTATGCTACATGTTCGCTCTTCTCCCTCCCTCGTTTGTTCAAATTAGGTGCATAGGATCATTTGCTCTCAGTGTTTTCTTTTTCGTTTAAAGTAACAAAATTGCTCGAAATATTTACAAGGGTGTATGAAACTAATTTGTTGATGTTTTAGCTTAGCTGTACTAGACATCTCGTAACTGAGTTCCGTTACTTTATTTCCTTGTCAAGTTTTCACTGTGAGCAAGGCTTTCTCATTAAATTGGTAAGTGTAGGCCTACATTCGGGGATAATTACCAAAGTTCCTACGTGCCTTTAATTCCAGTCCTGTTTTTTTGTTCCTTTAATTGCTGTTGTATGCATTTTTCCAGCCGTGAAAAGCAACCCGGATCCAGTGATCATTCGTCTCTTGATTGGACTTGGTAAATCGTTTGATTGTGCTAGCAAGGTACGCATCTTTGATTTTTTGGGGGGTCAAAAGTAATTATCTTAACTTCGAGCGTACAGATATGTATCATGGGGTGAAAATAACGTGTTGACAACAACCTTGATAGTATAAAGATGTACTTAGAAAGTTCGTGATTTCCATCAGATTTATTTTAATGGTTGGCCATGATATTCGAAATGTTCAAGAATGATAAGTAGAAATGTTCCAAAAGATCTAATTTCATCATACGGGCACTCAAACTCGCTGATCATCTCTTCACCACATCTAATATGTAAAACTTACAATCGTCAAAGACCAAACGGTCAAAACCGCTTAATTCGAATCTGCAGAATACAATGTTGCCCAAGAATATGATTGAGCTTCGAATTCAAGGTCATCTGCCCAAGTAACAACATCAGTTTATCGGGATTTACTCGCTTTTAACGATGGGTATACTTATAGAGGTTTTCAAGCCGACAAGATTTATCGCCTTGCGTTTGAGTTTGCAAGTGGTATTAGTCATTATGCGTAACGGCCATCTTACAGGGCATCTGTTGTTAGTTATTTTCGTTCAGTAACTTTGAATGCACAAACAGTTATCTCATGCATATCCCAACAAGACAAAGACATTGCCTTCTAAGATGGCTGCTTTCCATACTGTTTATTTGTTGAAAAGTTTACTAATCTCATTACTATAGGTTAACCGGTTAGGCCTATACTATACAGTAATGTATTTTGTTTTAACTGTTCCTTGAAGAAAGAGATCAAAATGGTTCTAGATCTAGGAGCAAGCGCTGATCGCATTATCTTCGCTCATCCCTACAAACAAGAATCACATCTTCGTTTTGCGAAAGAGAAAGGAGTACGACTCATGACATTTGACACGGCGGAAGAACTGCAGAAAGTCAAACGGGTTCACCCTAAAGCGCAGTAAGTATTGACTAAGTATTGTAACCCATAAATGACATTTGGATTCATCATAATTGCAAAGTATTCACACAACATCGTATGGAATAGAATCAACTACGCTTTACATAGGCCTACCAACGTACAAAGTGAGTCGTAATAAAAGCCCAAAAATTTTATTTCATATTTAAAAAATATGTAGCACCAAAACAAAATTATGACTGGAAAGCCAATTTCATAAGCTACTTTAAAATAACAAAATTACTGAAATTGTTCAATCTGTTCAAAGAACAACACCATTTAAACCCAATGACTCTAAAATCTCTTTCGTCCATAAATGCGATGTCAAGAATCGTCGTCACAGAGTCTTCAAACATCACCAGCGATAAAACCTCCTTTTAAAATTTAGAAATATTCAGCAAAGCCATTTTGAAGGCCCGTCTTAAAAAAACAAGTGGATTTTATAAATCATATTGTTTGCCTAAGCAGGGTTGTTAATCAAGATATTGTGTACTACTGTTATTGACAGTTGTTGAAACAAGTATTCTGTGTCATTTTTGTTGTTGTTCCAAACAGTAAGAATACACAATAAATTGCTCTTTTTTTTTGCTGGACGAAAGAGGTTTTAGGGTCATTGCGTTTAACTCTTGATATTCTTTGAACGGATTGAGCAATTTCAGTATTTTTTCATCTAAAAGTAGCGTATGAAATTGGCTTTCCAGTCATTATTATTTCTGGTGCTACATATTTTTTTAAATATGAAATATAATTTTGGGAGTTTGGGTTCCGCTTTTTTTTGACTCACCCTGTATTATAATTATTGTGTTCATTTATTTACGCGGAAGCAGATAAAAGTTGATTCAGACGAATGCACCAAAGCCCTTTCAAGAGTCGGCTTTGAGGTAAAAACAAAACCCTGGTTATTCTGATGTTTTTTTTGGATGCATTTTTCCGATACTATTTTTTCTCTTTGTACATAGGCTCGTGCTTCGTATACGTTATGACGACAGCACGGCTACATTTAATTATGGAGCAAAATTTGGTTGTCGCGGGGAAGAAGTACGCCCCCTCCTGGAGATTGCCAAGAAACTAGGACTAGATGTTGTTGGTATCAGGTGAAACTATTTTACATGTAAATTATCAGAAATTTGCTGAATATTTCAGAAGGAGGCAACAAGAAAGAAAAAAAGGCCAGGATGTCCTCTATCAAATGATATTAATTTTAATACGTTATTGTCATGGATGGATGAGACAACCATGAAATCAGCATTGTGACAAGTTAGTGCACATTGGAAAAGTGATGATATAGGGACAATGATTAGGTACTTCATTAAAGGAATGAAATGAGAGAATCTTTCTGATCACTAATAATACACGTAATCACTGGTAATACACAGCTCACATCGCCGCCTCTGACCGCACGTCTTACCAGTCCTTGGTCTTGATGCTGATTCACCTTACCCACTATCCCGGTACTTAACTCCTGAAAAAGGCACAAGGGGTGAGATCTGGTGATCTTGGGACCATTTAACTCAGTGGGAAAAAAAGAAATCACTCTGTCACCATAAGCTGTATACAGTTTCCATAAAGAAACACTAACCAGTTAACCTGAGATATTTCACGTTTTAGTTTACACCGAGAAACCAAAAGAAGAGAGCGAAAAACAATCCTGGTACAACCAGAGAACAACTTGGTCCGTTGGTTAATTGCCGGTTCCGAAAATCGCCAATTCTAGATGATTTACTTATTAAAAGCAGTTACATGCTGTCCCCGGATTTTCCCAAACATCAGTCGGCTTAAGCGAGCCACATTAAGGACAAAGTTCCGATTAGGAATTTAGTTGGACGCGAAGCAATGTTTTGCAGGTACATGTACCGGTATAAATTGTTGAAGTTATTCCGAGTTAAATCTATCGCATTTCTTTTTCAACAGGGCATGATTTAGGCATGCCATAGCCTGGCCAAGCTATATGTAATTTGGTATATAACAAGAAATAATTTACGATTTAATAATAATTTAGTAATAAATTGCTCTCAAATGAAACACCAAATGAAAATAGCACATAGAACAAGTTTTTTTTTCACGGGCGCCGCTAAAGGAGGGTCTGGAGGTGTCACCCCCCCCCCATCCCTTCGTCGTTTTTGTTGGCAAAACCACCACGTGTCCTTTCCGCAAATGTGCCGCAAAGAAGAGTGCTTCCTTTTGTCCGAAATTGTCCATGGTCCTCTTGAAAAATGCTTGATTTTTCATAGTAAAGCTACCACTTTTAAAAGTCTATCATCTTTTGTTTATCTATTTATTTATTATTTATTTCAAAATCTTTATACAGGATACAAAAATATCAGCTCAAAGGCTGTTTTACATTATGGTCCTGTGATAAGAAATAAAAACATTAAAAATAGTGAGAAAAAAAAAGCAATTAAAATGATAAAATAGCAAAATGAACAATTAAGATCATAACAATAAAAGTGATTAACTATTAAGATGGAAAAGATGTACATTAAAAGAAAATAGTTTCTTCAACCCCATTCCTCCACCCTTTAGGTTTATAAAACCGTTATTGATTCATTGTTGACCTAAGCAGGTCAACATCTGCAGCTGTCAAGTTGCCTGCGCAATATTTATCAGCCTTACGAATATTAATGAGGTTCCTATATCCATTACGGTGTGCAGTAAACAATTGCATAAAAGCCTCCTTCACGAGTTGTTAACAAATATCACCCTTTTGCCGACTTCCATTGGTCGATACCGAGACCCACGCCATGTCACGCCGAGTGACGCTAATGAATATGCTAATATGCCCTTCATCATTGTGTGCCGGGCCGAAATTGGTCAGCCGTAGCGCCTACGGCGCTTTGCTGAGCAATGCACATGGGTTGGGTCGGCAAATAATTTTTTGATCGTCTTCGAAATTTTCCTTAGATATGGTTCAAAGCTTATAACCCTTGTAAGCCACCGACTTACAGACATTCCTAAAATTTGGATCCCAGGTGAGCTTATCATCAACTTCGACCCCTAAATACCTTACTCTGTCAACCTGTTCAAGCTGAGTGTCCGTAAAAGATATATTCAATTTGTCAACATTGTTAACGCGACTAGATTTCAAAAGCATAACGAGAGACATTATTAATACCAACCCAAATCAAAATATATAGGAATTTGTCCCTTGAGATGCTACCAATATGCCAAATATCAGCCCTTGGCTCATGGACTATAAACGCATCAATTAAAATAGTTAAAAGACACTAACACATGTATTCGGTGCACATTACCAGTAAAGCAATATGTAGGCCTATAAACATGAGCATGCCAATGATTTTTAAAAAAATTAGTCAGGCCGTCTTTCACAGAAGAAGGGTTTTTCAATTGTTTTCTCACCACTTTTTTCTTATCAATATTCATGTTTCTTCCTTCTACAGTTTCCATGTGGGTAGTGAGGCTTCTAACCCTCAGATTTTCAGCGATGCAATTCGTTTCACTCGGCCGTTGTTTGATATTGGCACATCTCTCGGATTTAACATGAAGCTGCTAGACCTGGGTGGTGGGTTTCCCGGAAGATTGTACCCAAAGGCAACCTTCGATAAGGTAAGGAATGAAATGTTTGCTTTCAGAAATGTGACATTCGATTTATCAAGTTTTCCTGCAAAAGAGAGGCACGTTTTCCTTACTCAAAGTTTCCTACACAAAAGGTTTCCTTTGGGCAAAATATATGAGTTGCGAACGTTTCGATGAAGTTGTCTCCTTACATGCACAGTTATACAAGTTTCACGATAAGGTTCCATTGTAGAATACTCGTAGACCAACTTCACTATTAAAAACATTAACTTCTTCAGCATGGCACCTAGTCTATGTAATAGACCATGGCTATAGCCATGGTCTATATTACATTTGAGCAAATTCGCTTATTAATTATGCAAGGCAACCGCATCTTGACCGCTAGATTTTGCCCAATCAACGGGCGCTTTCTGTATCGGGTCTTCGGTCATTCACCCGTTGTCGCGTCATTATGTTACGCGATACGCGCCCGGCTGCTGTTATATTACAAATCACTGCATTCGAATTGACCAATCACACGTTTAGTCCTGATTTGGGAATGAAATGACGGCACGATTTAGTAAAGTCGACTCCGCTTGGCTGAGGCACGAGATCGCTTAAATCTGCATGCTTTGACATATCAGACGTTATACAGAAGACTTGGCTCCGTGGATAACGGGTGATACTCAGAATACATGGCACCCCGGTTCATTGGTAAAAAGGTTAAAAAAAAAAAAACTACAGGAAAAAGGAAAGTGTCGCATGCATGATAACCAACTCAGATGGTCCTCCATCGAGAAAGTGAGACAACCCAGCCTCCTCATGACATTGCACAAGATTCTCAGAAACGAATTGGCCATCAACACAGATGACTACTGCAAACCAAAGCCGGGAAATTATCGGGAAATTTGAGATGATTGGAGTGAGACGGACCCTAGAACGTTCACCATATGTTTTCAGTACAGATTTGAGAAACTAGTCATTGTTTGATACTGGTTTTTATTAGTATTGGTATAAAAGATTCATTCATGCATGCACACATTTCCTTTCAAGGGAATGTTTTTCTGTGTGTGTAAGTCCCACTTTGTAGGAAAATTTCACCCGTAACTTTTAAGGTTGGAATATATCATGTAGTATGTGAAGTATCGTGACCTCGTGGTCTGGAGCATTGAATTCGTGGTCTGCGGGCAATTCGGCAGGTTGTGGGTTCGAGTCCAGCCTGGGGTCATGGTGCGTGTGCTCTTGGGCAAGGCACTTTGTCACTCATTGCTTCTCTCCACCCAGGAGTAAATGGGTACATGTGAGGGCAGAGATGGTAATTGTGATCGATTCTAGCTTCCTTGTGCCTAATAGGCAGCATCCAGCTGTATACTCCCCAGGGAGCTGAGATGGTATTTAGAATGTTTAATTGGCCCACTGATCAGGGGTAATAATAATGTAGAGCGCTCTGATCATAGTTAAAAGCGTTATATATAAAAACCCGTCATTTTTGTTATTATTAAGTAACTTGATTTCGTTGTTGTGTTGCCAGTTTGCAGACGTCATCACCCGGGCACTAGACGAACATTTCCCCGCCAGCAGTGGCGTGCGAATTATTGCCGAACCGGGAACATTTTACACTCGTTCAGCAGGATACCTAGTGGCGAATGTCATTGCCAAACGTGTGAACAAAGTTGACATCAATGAACGGCGTGAAAGAGTATCAGGTAAGCTGGCCTCGAGGCCATTAGTACACATTGTACTATTTTTGAGAAGCTATTGTTTAGCCGTCGTATTGTCTATCATTCTGTAAGTTGTTTCCGTGTTAACTTCTGTTATTCTAGTCCTCCATACCCCCAAACGTTATTTCTCAATAACCCACACGTCGCACCAATTTTACAACATGGTTTTGGCCACCGACAGGTATTGCAGTTGCTGACCCTTTTATTTATTTATTTATTTATTCTTCCTTCTTTTTTCTTCTTCTTCATTAAAATAATATGTACATTTATACGATTATATGCTAAATAATAATAGTCAACTATGGATCCAATTTTTTTTAAAAAGATATTGTGGATACATACACAACGACAATCTTTACAAATAACTTCGACGCCCCTAATGCACTTTTCTGTGACTTTTCTGTTTCTTTTCTGTGCCATCATATAAAATCAATTAAGTTGTGATTTGTATGTTGATCCTGCACGCCTGCGGAGTGAAAAATCAGAGATAAAAACTCTTTGCGAGAAAATACTCTGGAAAACCCCGCTAGACGAACAAGACTAATAGTAGTATGGTTTCCACTAATTTCTCTAAACAGTACTTTTCCCATATTGAGAGTTGCGACATTGCATGACTTTATGGTCATAGTGCCCGATTTTAACATCTAATCTATTAATTGGATATTATAATAATAATGATCATTAACTATAAACTTGAAAGAAGTCGAGCCTGCCGGTGCGCAGATGGTCCATGCTGACTAAGCATCGCCTTATATACTCCCCTTTTTTACTCCAATCTTCATCCGCGTATGGCGGAGTTACATTTACACTTATTGAGAACTATACATTTCGTTCTAATTCGCCCCGCTCAACCAAACGAAATACCATTTTCTGTACACCACTTTTGCTGTATCGCGTAGAAAGAAAGCACATAGTGATTATGTTACTCAGACGTGAAAACGGTAAGGATACCTGAAACAGCTAAAAACTCCCTTATATAACAACAATGCTTTTGAACGCTTGGAAAAGAAACACTTGGCATTCTTCGGAGCTGCTATATATATATATATATATTTTTATTTACCTATCACCGTATTACATCTGCCAACTAAATATCATTCATATTCATCATTCATCTACGGGTTTGGAAAGCTGGCTAAAAGATTCCTAAAATATTGCTTTGTTTTTATTTCAGATAGCGATGAACCGTTCATTTGGATTTACTACTTGAATGTTGGTATTTTCAATGGATTGAGTTGCAAAGTGTTCGACCCCGAGTATTTTGACCTTCCAGAACCCTTACACGTAATGTATAAACATTAGAAACGGGTTTGATGTGATTTATGGATGTGAATTTCGGCAATAGTTGTTCAAAACACCTTAGGCGCATGCCCCCTTCCAAATCACTATGACTACGTTCATTTTTAAAAGATGTAACACTGACATTTGCAATATCTGTCAATCTTTTCAAGCCTCACGAATATTAATAAGGGTCCTATCCATTATGGTGTGCAGTAAAAAAAAAAATTGAGAGTGACGTTAATGAATTTTGCTCATACCCCCCGCCCTGCAAACAGGACGCTGGGACACGCTGATGAGCTTCACAGAATCTTGTGAAGGAAGTGGCCTAGGACCTATGTATAAAGCATCTGGCTGCAGATGTTCAAGACCGCAGTTAGACAATGTGAGCAAATGCTATCCGAAAACTTCCCATAGAAATGCACACGTTTCATACCGGATGTAATTTCTGTTTCATTGCGGGCCATGTGGACATCATTTTGAGTGTAGCATAATGCAATCCGACCGTTCGCGATTCGAATCGGAGCCTGAGCAAGTGACGGGGATTGTAAATTTACATCAAAGATAAACTTTACAGAATTTCCTACATTATTACGCTTTTCAACGAAAAAAAAAATCTCTAAACTGGAATAAAAGAGTGATGAAAGTTCGTCTTAACGGCCGTCGGTTTCAAACCTTGCAGAGTCATGACCGTGATGACGCGCAGGTTACAGGTCACGCAAATTCCAACTAATCAGAGCGTGCATGCAGGGCGGGGGGTACGAGCGAACTTATGAATTTGCTAATCTACAATACGTTATTGTGTGGCTTGGCCGAAATCGGTCAACTGTAGCGCCTAAGGCGCTCTACTGAACAATGCATGTGGGTTGGGTTGGCAGAAATCATCGTCGAAATTTGCCATGGAGATGGTTCTATGTGTAACACTAGCGTTTGCAACAACAGATTTAGCTGAAATTCGGTATATACTTGGTTGATATAAGGGGCCATTCAGAATTTTCAATGTTTTAAAATTTCGATCTTTTTTCCCAAATTGTGGGTGGGTGGGTCAAGCTAAAAAATTGAAAATCGAAATTCACTTTCCATGGAAAAATATTAAAACAAAAGAAAAGAAAGATATATCTTTTGACTTGCCTGAACTACGCGCAAGCGTTCCGATATCGCGATGCGTGTTTATTTTCCAACTTCGTCCCCTGCATGTACTGTACATGTACGTCATGTACGTGTAGATAGACTTGGACTTGGACGCCGGGCGTTTGTAGCGGTTAGGCCGTGCAGAGGCAGCAGGGTACCAGGTGTACTAGATCAGCTCTATAACGCGCCGCGGGCGTCTATTACCAATCGCTGTAAAAACTGGACTATTCAACCACTGGACTCCAAGGCTACGAGGACCGCAGCCTGTGATGTCTGCCCAAACCTGATGTTTTTCTTTCGCTTGCACACCTGCCCTGCAAACAGGGCGGGGGGATATTTTCTCAGCTACCTCACGTGACAGGCACAACCTCGTATGTCACATGTCATCCACCTCATCCAGAAAACGACAAAACCACGGTCATCTTTGTGGCTTCCAAAAACTGCAAAGAGGAAGACCGACAACTTCACGCCGTCACTGAACTAGACACACATGTACATGGGTATACATGTTCATGTTCAAGTATATGTATATGTACATGTACATGTTCAGTTTTTTATTAATCGAAATTAGGGGTGGGTGGGTGGGTCAAAATAATTTGGAAAAAAAGTCGAAATTTTAAAACACTGAAAATTCTGAATGGCCCCTAAGTGTTCAACAACTCGTGAAATAATAATTTTGAGAAATTCCTAGAAATTGACATAAATAGAGAGATTTGGGGAAGTTTCCCAACGATTTCTTCCAGACTTGAAGGTCAGCTATACCAGTAACTAGTATTGACGTTTCGGCATCGATGACGGCGATTTTTTGACATGAAGTTTATAATTTCTTCTTCCGTTATAATTTAACATTTCAATCATACTGTGCATGTTTTCTGAGAAACACAACGTTCAAAAGGCCATGTTTTTTGTGGTGCATGAATTTCACTGCTCTGCTATAGCGTCTAAGTACGTAATCGGATTAGCTTTGCTTAACAACGGCAGACGCTTTGCCTTAGCAACCACATGACTGCTAGGCACCAGTGTTCCGTAGGCCCTTTTCCGTCTTAGTCACCGGCACCGAATTCAGCGTACAAAGCACTGTACAAATCAAACCAGGCCAAACTGGTAATAATAATAATAATGACAGGTTCTTATATAGCACTTTTAACTAAGATCAAAGCGCTTTACATTATTATTACCCCTAATCATTGGGCCAATCAAACATTCCATATACCATCTCAGCTCCCTGGGGAGTATACAGCTCGATGCTGCCTGTTAGGCTCAAGGAAGCTAATTCAATCACAATAACCATCGCTGCCCTCATAGGTACCCATTTACTCCTGGGTGGAGAGAAGCAATGAGTGACAAAGTGCCTTGCTCAAGGGAACACGCACCATAACCCCGCCAGGACTCGAACCCACGACCTGCAGCTTTACCCACAGACCACGAATCAGTGCCCTTAACCACAAGGCCACAGCACTCCACTACATTAGTTATATGTCCTAGCTGTAAAAGCCTGTTGGCACCAAGGGCGTCAATCGATTCTCAAAAGTGAGGGAAAGTGGGTGGGGGGTACAAACGCGTATCCTGATGAGAAGTACTTCGAGGACGAAGCCTAAACGGCGTGGGGTTAGATGAGCCAAGGTGTTGGCCGTTATTTATTCACATCATAATTATAAGTAATATCGGCCCGAATTATTTTCATTTGCACGACGAAAATGGGCCAATGCTACCAAAACAGGCTCCAAAAGCAATAAAAACTTGCCTTAATTAAAGGAGAAAAATATTTAAGGTTGAAAATGATGTAAAATATTTGCTTTATCAAAATTTAGAAACTTCAAAACCTACAAATTCTGAAAAACACATTTTCGAAACCAGAAATGCATTTGTTGCCATGATTGAGGGGACACCTTTATTTCTGGCTGGTCTTAAACACTTCCAGCCTAGCCAGTGTTTTATCAACCGTTTAAGACCCGCCACTGACGGGCTTTCGACCAATAAGAATGGGTAAAATATCTTAGGTATTTATGAATAGCCTATAATGGGAAGACCACAACTTTTATTAATGTTCGTAGGGCCTACTTGCATTTAGTCCCAGCTTCGTTCCGAATTCGCCTAAGTCGCTGCTGCAACCATTTCTAATCCTTTGATGTTCTATCGAACAGAAAGACTCCAAAATGTTGTTTCGTATTCAGAGGGAATCAGAGGATTTTGTAGCAGAAAATGGACCGACAAAGTGATCAATATTTTCTCAAGGCAAGGGACCCAATGACGTTAAAGTTCGTTGCCGGAACGAAGCCCGTGGTTGAGAAATGGGGGGAGAGGCAAAAGTCAACAGCAATATAACAACAAGTTGGTGCAAGGAGTATTGGTCTCGCCGAAGTTGTTTTGACCTCTCAGATTTCATATGACTTTTTTTCATTGTTACGTAATCAAAACACAGGAACCACTTAGAAACCGTGATTTGAAGCCATCTACAATTTTTGGGCCGACTTGTGATTCTAATGACGTCATCATGGCTAACTGTATGTTGCCTGAGATGGACACTGGAGAGTTTGTCTTGTTCCATGGTGAGTATACGTCTTTCTTGGAAAAAAAATGGGAATTATGTTCTATATAAGTGTATAGTCATAGGCCTATTTATTCTTGTCTTGTACAGTGAACGGTTCGCCAAAGATGGCCAATCATTCTGATCACTCGTTGGATGTATCATGCATGCATTATGAGACATACGCACGTAATCTCTGCCATTAACGTACATTTTTTTATGACAAAATTAGTGATCCGCATAGGCGTAAACAATGCTTGCGACATCTTAAAGTTCAAGACATATATCACATTAATGTACTTGTTTGCGTCAGTGTTAAATGGCGCGCTCCAGTTCAGAAAGTTTTGAGCGAATATTCATATCTATAGTGACGTATCAGCTCATTACATGGCCTTCACTTTTTCTCATTCCTCACAACCACCAAATCGGGGGAGTCGGGTTGGCGTAACGGTTCTTTCCTCGCCTTCCACTGCTGTGACCCGGGTTCGAATCCCGCCCGGGCCAATATGTGGATTGGGTTTTCTGTCTCTACCTGATTCCGTGGGTTTTCCTCACAATATTCCTCTGGGCATTTCCTCCCACCAAGTCCAATGGGGCACACCTTAAAGGGGCTCACTAAACGCTCGAACTTACTTCAATACGCCAAACCATGTGATTATGAAACTCGAGCATGGGCGTCGCCAGGTTTTTTTTTCTTGAGGGGGGCAAACACTCACCAGAGCAAAGTGACCGGCCTTGGAAAAATCAAGAGTGTGCACATATTTCTCTTCGACGCTTTGTAAGAAAAAACGTCTACGTTATAAAATATACATTAAATTAACAATAATATGATTCGCCCCTCGTTTTCTTTTTTTCCCCTCTTTCTCCTTTCCCCTCCCTTTTCTCTTTTTGTACTTTTGGCTTTTCCAGCCCCGCCCCCTCACTGCGCCCTTGAACTCAAGGCATTCTTTACAAGTAAATTGTCAACCCAAGAATGTTTTACACAAAACAGTAACTATGATAACCTAGGTATGCAAAAGGAACGCATATTAACGTAAGTAATCAATCGACTACACCTGTAGGATGGGGCCAAATAAGAAACAGCTAGCTTACCAGTGTAGGCTACATAAATTCAAAACAGTAAATTCTGGTTAGTACCGTTTTGAATTTATTTCTAATACAGCTACATAATACTAGATGATAGATTACTAGTTTTGATCTGAAATATTTTGCCCAATTTTGTGTTATGTTTTTTCTGTCATCAGATATGGGAGGCTATACCGCTACGTGTGCATGCGATTTTAACGGTTTCAGCTTGCCGTCAACGTGGTACATTGCACCCAAAGAGATCCGGTAAACTATACAAATCGATCTTTTCATTCAAGGAAAGTACTTTAGACTAGAATTAATTTGTTACGGAGATACTGCATACAACCTTTGCATTTCTTATTCCATTCCCGGCATTTCTGCAACACTGAAAATGCAAGGTCAGACGCGGTTCTACGGAGGGGGGGGGGGGGGGCTATAGCCCCCAAACTTTTGTCTAGCGCCCTCGAAAAAAAATTCATATAAATAAATGGCAGTAGCAAATGTTAGAAGGTGACGTCACATGTTAATGGTCTCCCCCCTAAAAAAAACATAGTTGTAAAAAGGGTGCATTTGTACACTATTAGGTAATATAGTGTGCATGATTGTACGAATTTATCAGCGCTCCCCAATGAAAATATGGCACGAGCCCACCCCCCCCACCCCAACCCGCCTATTGATTTTCGGAGGCCTAAGTGTCCGGAGAAACAAAAAAATCATCACGCCTACCTGCACATATTGCTGGAGCCACCCTGCTAGCCCCCCCCCCCCTCCCTAAAATATAGGCTCTAGAACTGCGCCTGTGCATGGTACATTTTGTTCTTTTCCGTTAACAACGGGAACACGAGGTGTCGCTGTGATGACGTCTCGCACATAAGCTCTGTTCTCACCAAACAAATCCCGGCGAACGACACTATGCCCTCAGCGGCGTAGCCAGGGGGGGGGGGGGGGGGGGGGGGGACGTGTCCTCCATAAAAAAAAATCGTCGCCCCCCCCCCCATCGGCCCTTGGAAATTTGTTATATAAGTGACCACCAACGGGTTGAACCGAAATTGGGCGCCCCCACCCCCACTCTGTAACATTCATCCCCTTCCCCCCACACACACACACACATACTGTATTTGCCTGTAATCGGGGATCCCCTATTGTCCTATGTTTGTTTGTTCACCAACTTTTTAGGAGGACCTCCCATGTGTTTTGTACATGAATCCAAATTTGGGACCTCTCGGGAATTGGGGACCCTATTGTCCTCTATTGTTCAACGTCCCCTATTGAATGCAGAAACAAACTCACACACACCCACCAATGTTTACGTTAGGCTATACATACCTAGTGTGGACATACTTTTGATTTCGCGTAGTTAAGAAAAACCTGTGAAAAAAAATCATTTTACTCACATTGTGAAAACTCTTTCAACCCCAATTTTTTTCTAGGATTCCCTTTAGTGTTTCTCTTCATTTTGCCTCTTAATGCCCAAAAATGCCTCTTAACCTGTTTTCCAGAGAGGGGAAAACATTGTGTGGATGTGGGAAATTCCACACAACATTTCTTTGTTCTCGTGCTGCTACTGGCTGGTTTATGTGGACATCTTTTGTTCACACAGTGAATGCAATGTTTGTACATTGTGTAACAGCAGGCATTGTTATTAAGTCTTCGGTAGCGTTTATTGGTCCACTGATATGTTTGGAAACATTTATAACTACTCTGATGTTGCGATGTTGACGTTCTTGAGTTTGGCAACCCGTGGTTGGCAACTAAGTGCCATCCACGGGTTGGCAAGAAAAGTCTGTTTAGTGTGGGCGATAGAGAACGCACTTCAGCGTATAACTTAATGGTGCTTAAGTGCCAAGCAAAATCGGCGCTCTTAAAGCTGTCAAATGAATGTACACAATGTTTGATGTTTCAATCAAAAGTGAATAACGTTTGAATGAGGGAATAACAACTTTAGCATTAACATTATTTGCTCGATATCTTATTTGCAGACTCGTTCTGGAGAAGAATTTTCCAGCACATTAGACTTTTTGGTTTCGGCTTAAGCCAGAAGTCAGTTCCCGAGTGAAAGTCTGACGTTACAATAGGGTGTGCAACCATTTTCCAGCTTTTCGTCATGGTGGATGTTCATGGTCGGGGCAGTATATTGTTGATGTACCCCAACATGGCGCGGCCCCTATAACGTGGCCCAGTGATTTTTTGCCTGTAGCGCCTAGCTAGAGTAAAAGGTTAACTGAAATTTCACAGAAAGTGCAGTTTCGTCAAGTTCTAAGCACTCCCGTTGATAAATCACGAGTTTATCTACCTGTTAAAAAGTTAGAAGAAACATTTAGTTCGGCGTGATTTTCCGATTTATTTCGAATGTAACAGTAAGCCCATTGAAATGCCCCCCCCCCCCCCCAAATAAGAAAATAATTTTCTGACAAACATTTAGTATGGTATGTAAGTAGAGATAAAAAATGGTTATCAGAATTTATCAACTTTACAGAAATTCTTAAATGTTTATTTGAAATTTTCCGCCACGTTGGGGAACACTCAGACGATTTTGTGCCAAATTTCCGGACACCACCGGGTTTTTTTTTGATTTCGGATTAAATTTCATGACACCGAAATTGTTCACAAAGGTGACACAGCAAGCCTTATTAAGGATGTTTTCAACGCACTATTTTTTGCTATTGGTTTTTACTAGTTTTTGCGGTTAAATTCTTGTACTGAATTTTGTTGTATACAATTTTTTTTTCCGTCAATAAATTCTTTTTGATTTTTTTTCGGCAACTTAGAATTAATCTAATGTAGTATTAATTCAATTCCTTGCGACTTTTACTTCCCTTAAATAACTAAGATAAGTAAAGTTTGGTTAGTTGTTGGTAGACCTTGGCAATGCTACTGTTCAGAGCGATCATGCGAAAGTTGGGCGGCAGCGATGGGTCTCCTTTCTTGTATACTGTAGAAGACTTACTTGGCAGCAGGAGCGGGATATCGGTGGAGTTCCACTTTGCAATATTTTGGTGAAAAGTGTGGCAAGTAGGGCCTAGATGGTGTGCTGCTTGCAACTTCATTCTTGACAGTGTGGCGGGGCCAAATATTAATTGTAATTACCACGTTGTTTTCTGTGTTAAGTAAAGGAGAAGTTCCACCGGATGAATTTATCGTGGGAGTTTAGTTAGGCCTATGCCCTTCACTTGTTTTTAGTAGCGTGTCTCCCTGTTTCCAGTAGTCAGACCTCTTAGTCTTAGAAATGACACCCATGTGCCTTACGTTGATAAGGACCCATATGCGTTGCCCAATCTTGACCTCAGTCAAAACCAGACCAGCAGAGATGAGAGAACAATGTGCATGTGCCCATTACACTAGACGCCATGCTAATTAATTAGAGTGGTTTGTCGATTCTGTTCGGGTTCTACCACCATCAAGTAATTGATTTTTAGCCAGATTGTACTTAAAGATAAATCATTTTACACTGCTTTTTGGTCTTTTCCCGGTGATTTCTTAACATACTGTCTTTGCTATTAGTTTTAGTTTTTTTCGGTTAGAGTCTTGTTTCAGTTTTGCTGTAGGTTGTTTCAGTCAATAAAGTCTTTTTGATTCTGGTTTGGCATTTAAGAACGACTCTCATGTCTCTATTCATTCAATTCCCTGTGATTCTTCCCTTAAAAAAATCAGAGATTAGTAAAGTTTGGTTAGTTATCCCGATAGAGAGTTTCTTTTGGGCGTGTTCCCCCAGTTTCCAGAATACACAAGCATCACGGAAAAATTGTGGTTGTAGCAACCATTCTCAAGAGAATAAAGTGATCAAGGGCGTATCCAGAACAAAATTTGGGTGGGGGCCAGAAGTAATTTTCGTCCCTCAAAAAGTGGGTCAAAAAATTATGGCGTGGGGTGCGGGCCCGCTTTGGGCCCCGAATTTTGTTTTGATTCTAGATGCTCTGTGGTGCGATCTGAGGCAATTTCCGACCACAATTCCTGAACAATTTTTTTGAGGAAAAGATGGTGGTGAACGTTGTGCCTGCCTTTATTGCGACGTCACTTAAAAACAAAATTTGGGGTTTTTTTTGGGGGGGGGGGCACGGCCCCCATTGGCCGGATCCACCCTTGAAAATGATATTATTACATCACTTCTCGTGATGTTAACAATGACATTTTGTAATTGCGAAAAGTACCGTGATATTCCACATAATATATATTATTCATAAAGGTTGGACAAAAGGGGGTCCCAGATTGCAGGCAAATACACAATTGTGTGGGTGTTTGTGTGTGTGTGTGGGGGGGGGGGAATAATTGCATCTATTTTGATAAAGGTATAGCGCATCTGTGACGTATTCAGGATTGGGCGGGGGAGGGGGAGGGGCAACGATCCAAAAATTAATCCGGTCATCAGTTTGTACCATACACGTATCAGTGTTTATTGTGCAACAGATATTTAATCGTTATGGGTCATTCTATCAATTAATTTGGGGGCCAACTTTTTTCCTGTCCCTATTATTTTCATCTGACATCTATGATTTTATAATTCTGATGCACTTCTTAATGTAGTTGTCATCCAAGAGTGATTATGATTAGCAAACTACCTACCCAACAAATAAAATATCGTTTGAAGTCAATCCTAAGGATACTTACGTGACGGGTTACAAAGTAGGCCTACCAAGGTGACAGGGACAGGAAAAGTGTCACACTTGGACCAGACTGGAACCTTGAGTGCAGACAAACATGCAAAACAAAATCAGGCCAACTTTACTCGCTCTTCAGCTGACAGAGTTCTCAAAAACTTTCATGAGGCAAAGACAAGGTCCTCAGTATTTCACCGGCCAAGTTTGAAGTCTCAATTCATTTTTTTAAAGAAGACTTTACTTCAACATTTTGCACTTGAGAGTGAAGCCAAGTGATTTCAATTTGAAGCCTAAGACTAGACTGGTACATGTTTAACTTTTTGAAAAAAAATAACTCTTCAGTAGTCTGGTGGCATGATTTTGGAGAATGTGTAGAAATAGAGACCAGCACCAGTTGTTTCTTTTGACACAGTTGATGCAGTTCGTAAGGGGTGTTGGACTATTTGTTCCATGTGCCAGTCTATTTTCTTGTATTGCATGTTTTGACAATCTTAAATTTTGGGACTCTCATACACAGTATTGAGAGTCCCACATTTTCGGACTAACTATGAACCCTAACTTTATAATGAGTCATAGGATTTAAACGAAATTCTTTGCTGTACACGTACTTCAAAATAAGTTCATAAACATTTTTTTAAACACTAAGGAAAAAAACTTAGGTATAACATGAAATTCAACTTCACACTTAGCACTACTACATGTATTTCGTTGGATCTTGGACAAACACATACAGAATATCTTTAGAACGTGCATTCTATCCTGCTTGTTATATATACCTTTCAAGTTGTTGACCTCCTCCATCCCTCTGGGTTTTTTTTAGGGGGCGCTCTTCAAAACCGGCCATTATGCAAACTACGCATTATGTTAGGGGTTTGAGGCTTTGTTTTCGTATTCCTCGTTCATATCAGAACTCTCTATACCATTTGGGGCAATGGTTATACTCAAAACATATTATCCGTAATTTTAGTGCCCCCTGCCTCACCCGGTTCCGCCGCCTCTGACACTTTTTAGTAATACATTCTTTTATATAAAATTATCATAATTATCATAACTTCTAACCAGTAACTATAGGTAGGCCTGTACTGGAGTCCGGGTTAATACCGAGCGTGGGCATGTAGCGATAGCAAATGACTATATACTTGACAGAATCAAGACGCGCATGCGTATGGGTTTTGTTAGTTCTGTCAATCTTGTTTATTGAACAAGATTTGCAGTACAACAACCATTGACAAAAATGGGGAACCGTCGATATGATGGCTGGATAGCTCAGTTGGTAGAGCACCAGAGCAGCAATCCGGAGTTCCAAGGCCCAAACCCCGCTCCAATCAAATTCTTTATTCCACTTTCTTATAAATCGTGTGCATTGCAAGCGTAAAGCTAGTGCTCTACGGGAGAAAACTGTCGATGTTTGCGTTGAAAACACAAGGATGAACTACTCTACAAAATGACTCTAATTTTTTTTAGGCCTACTTTATGCATAACTATATTTTGTATGCAGTATTACCATATCTAATATCAATTAAATATTAGAACACAGTCTACAACAAGAGCACCTATATAGTCCGGTCAATTTAAGTTAAGACCTAGAACAAATTGAAATAGAAACCATTTAAGCGTCAAACAACTTCAAATAAATACACAAATATGTAAAACATCTAATTGTTTCTATGGAGTGGAAGGGTGTTTTTTCAAGCATTTTTTGATTTTAAAATTTGGGACATTTTATCCTCGAACTATCCGTCTGGTGACTTGCTTCGATTCACATGCCTATAAGGTAATGTTTAGGATTCATGACCACGTGCGAGTGAAGCAGACGACATTACGTCGGAAACTAAAAAAAAAAGTTGTCACGTGTGTCATATAATTTCTTTTTTCTTTTTACATAAATTTGTACACTGAGTTTTATATTAAGAACAGTATACCTTTGTAACTTGGTTCAAAATTTTACATTTGACGGGGATATGTCTGTTTCAAATCATAATTTTATACTGGGCACTATGGACAGAGTGGACGATTTTCGCCTAAAGTGCGCAAGTTTTTTAAGTCCACAGACGATATGATTATTTGCAAAAAGGGATGTCTAAAAATCATGTTTGATCATACACAGACTGAAAACGGTTGGTCAGTGCATGCATGAACCATTTTGAAAGTAAAGCGAAATATCTTTATTTCAAGATTATTGATTGAGCGCCTGAAAACGATTTGTTGGATTTGGTTTAAGAACATTCAGAAAGTACTGAACTCGGGTTGTGATGCTTACATTACATTTGTAAGCGCATGAAAATATGAAACAAAACATCTCAAAACACTTTCGTCACAATTAAAACAAAATTGTATATGAGGTTGATGAGAAACAGATGTAGTTCTGTACATTAGCTTTGCATGTACGTCATACATTTTTCATAAGTACATTTTGTAATTTAAACAGCTAAATTGTGAAGATCCTGATCGAGGTATATATGAAAATTGATTGAGACATTTACTTGTACTGACAAAAGTGAAATGCATTACTCCAGAAAAGCATACTTGAGTCCCAACGAAACGATTCTTTGGATGGAACAGACCTCGCGTTGTTATTATAGGTTTTCCCGGCTATTTTAACACTTGTATTACACAAATTCCCTATATCAATACTTAAATTTCGTCCCAAAACATCGCCAAGCTCAATTCTCAATTTGAATTTCAAAAAGCCACCACTAGATTTCATTTCAGGTTCAGTATAATTCAAATTGTTAGCATTCCGATTCGTCCAAAATCTTTGAAATTCGTCTCGTGAAGCAATCGGCGTTGAATTGAAAAAGCAAATTCGTTTTTTGTCATTCGTTTTCATGTTGTTGTCGTTACATTTCGTCCCTGGTGACTTAAATCGTATACGATTACAAAATGCGCCCAATCTTTAGACTTATTCGAAGAATTATGCGTATTAAAACAATGATAATTCAACATACATTTCCTTATATGTATAAATAAAAGTAGTTAGCTGTAAGGTATGAATTTTTATTTCTGTGTTTCACAATTAACATTAGAGTCAGGAATTGACATTTCACAATATGCACTTATGAAATGGACACTAAGCATTAAGTTCAAAGACCTTCTTAATGTTGGTCTTTGATAGACATCATACCTTATTTCTGTTGTTTTATTCATAAACATATATCAAAGAGCAACATTACGAAAGTGTTTGATCTTAATGCTTAATTTCAAGCAAAGAGCATATTGTGAAAGTTCAATTTCTGATATCAATGTTAATTGTCAAAAAACCCTAAAAACCCTACAGCTATACTATCATTTATAAGGAAATATTTGTTAAAAATTAAAATTTAATTAACGCGCAAACAAGTCCAAAGATTGGGCACATTTTTACCCGTAACGTTTTAAGTCACCAGAGACGAAATGTAACGACAAGAACATTAAAACGAATGACAAAAAACGAATTTGCTTTTTCAATTCAACGCCAATTGCTTCACGAGACGAATTTCAAAGATTTTGGAAGAATCGGAATGCTAACAATTTGAATTATACTGAACCTTAAATGAAATCTAGGGGTGGCTTTCTGAAATTCAAATTGAGAAGTGAGCATGGCGATGTTTGGGGACGAAATAAATGTATCGATATAGGGAATTCGTGTGATACAAGTGTTAAAATAGCTGGGAAAACCTATACTTTAAAAAAAATGATCTCAATTGCATGGTCCACAACCCCCCCCCCTCCCTCCCTGGCCTACGGAGGCTTTGATCTGGGGGAACGTATGTTAGTTATAGAGGTAATACACTTGTCACACTGCCTACATTTCTTTTCTCTAGAGCCCAGAATTCAGCAAAATTTTCACTGCAAGATTTTAAACCAGTTAATTTGTCTTCATTAAGGTTTTTTGAGTATACAATTTTTTTTGGAAAAATTTATAGGTATTTTATAATTCAATGCCAATGACCTAAATTCATCACAAAACCAACACACGAATCTTGGATTTCGGATATTTTCCCTGATATTTAAAATTGGACTCCGGCCTATTGGCGTAGACACTTAAATTTTAACTTAAAATGGATCTCTGTGTGTATATCATTGCCCGGCCTTGTTTCAAGTAGACCTGTTTATGCCACGACTTCCCCTGAAACAAATGGTTTATTGAGCACAAAGTGATTTATTTTAACCAATAAATAATTCGTGAAGAAAAAAATCTCAAACTTCTTGATATTTTTCAAGAAAATATCCTATAGTATGTGGCGGCAGTGTAAATTACCATCAATGTTAATAATTGGTGGACATAAAAAAGTCGTCTGCTGTGATCAGAGGTGTCTCACGAAGTCTCATACGTGATGTGAACGGTTTTTCTGACGGGTAACGGACGCAAAAGAAAACACGACGCCCTCCATACGACTGTTTACGTATGATGAAAAGCTAGTAGCAAAAAAGTGAATAAAAGCACTTTTCCACTCCTTTGATGAAATTAGATTTTCAGTTTGTTAAATAGTGATGTTTCCTCAGCGTGATAACGTTAAAATAAATTCTATTGCAATTTGTTCTAGGTCAGGCTCTGTTTTGTTCTAAATTGACCGGACTAATTCTGCATTACATACGGTTAATATTTACGAGAAAGAAATTCTACTTTTTTTCAGTAAGCTCATCTATTCTTCGTCACTATATTTAGATTACAAGTTTATGTCTTCACTTATTTTCAGTGCGGACTGAAAATGTTAAATTGTAACATAATGCATCAAGTATGTTCAGCTGGGAAACTTCTTTTATTTAGTATGTGTAAAATTGTTCAATCACTGATGCAGAATAAGACTCGTTTGCCACATTTATTGTGTATTAAAGGATATAGGCCTACATAATTTCTGCCTGTAAATTAGCTCAAAACGGCGACATTAAAACGCCGTCAATTTCACGAAAATAGGGCTTATTGCAAATACATTTTAATACTAGATTTCAGCCTCTATTTTTCGTAATTCTCATTGTAATGCTTGAGCCAAAACCTTCATCACCTTCATCTATTGCACATTTTACAATGCTTAAAAAAGTACACATAAACTAATGTCATCTTTCATAACTGCTTATACTATAAATTTCGGTTCGATTGATTCAGAACTTGTAAAGTTATCATTGTTTTCCTTGGGTTTATCTCCGACATCGATTTTTAAAGACGGTCAGTCCCCTTTTTTTTCCTTTGTTGGTTTTTCTTGTATACAGTATTATTAACGACGCAGCTTCATTTCACACTTGACTATTACATGCTCTGCCCATCCATCCCATTTCAAACCACCATCGTGATATTTCCCATTCAGGCTGTACGAAATATCATGACTACACGCTCCGAACCACCACCCCCCTCCCTGCCGATCTGCACAGTTACCCTGCTCCTCATCCTGGTCTTTGTCATACGTTGAGAATTTATGTTGATTGAATTGAGGGAAATCAGAATCCGGTGAATCTACGCAAGAGCAAACAAATATTAAAATGATATGAGTTTTACGACACCACTTTGGGAGTGGACGATGAAAACCACAAATATTAAATGGACACCAGGAATAGATGCATTGTATTACAAGCACATTTACGGTGTGTGTGCTTTTGAGTAGACCTGTAGTGCATTCATTATTTTAATACTTAATTAAATAACAAAAACCTCAAAGATGAACGCTGTAGGCAAAGACAAGAAATAGGTCCAATTGTATATCAAAGGTTTAAGTTATGGCTTAAGAACGAGCGTTGAATGTTGTACGCATTTTGGTGTACAATCCATCATTTATATGTTTGTGTTAGGACAGGATTCTCCAATGTTTTGGTGCTGCTCTGTAGGAAAACAGTATAGGCCCCACATTCTCTTGGTGCCTGACTGACTGACTGCAGGCGCGGTTCTACGGGGGGGGGGGGGGGGGGGGGGGGCCTAGGGGGGGGGGGGGGGCTTTAGCCCCCCCAAAAATTTGGTCTAGCCCCAACAAATAAATTCCGTAAAACAAAATTGCATTATAGCAAAAAGAAGGATTGTGATGTACATGCGAACGGTCTTCCCCTGAAGAAATAGTCGTGACAAGGGTGCATTTGTAGTCAATATAGTGTGAATGATTTTAGGATTTTATTGGCGCTCCCCACTGAAAATATGGTATGACCCCCCCCCTCCCCCCAACCTATTGATTTTCGGAGGCCTAAGTGTCTGGAAAAAATAACCGGTCTACATTTCAGCACGCCTCCCTGGAAAAAATTCTGGATGCACCCCCTGCTAGCCCCCCCCCCCCCCCAAATATTTGTTCTAGAACCGCGCCTGACTGACTGACTGACTGCCACTTGTGAATTAGACTTGCTTAAGTCTCACATTTGCCAATAATAGTATTACCTCGTAACGGCAGTGAGTGGACTAAATCCGTTCCGTTGTGTAGACCAGATACAGGAAAGTACTTCCCGTGAATAGCCATTCTGAATCATTGGAAGGCATTTTGTGCGCTCTGGGACAAGCTTTGTCTTGTTTTGTTTTATTATTGCTGTCATATTAAACCTACTTTGTGGTTTATTAACATACCTCGGTCCAAAGTGTAACCATTGCCTTTGACGCTGAATTTGTTGACTTTGATTTGTTTCTTCGTTCCTTGATCGTCCACCAGATCTACCCTTAGTTTCCATTTATTAGTAGAAGTGAGTAGACGGAGTTTCTCGTTCCCAAGCCAGAACTCTCCCGAGAGGTCGCCGAATCCGTCCCGGTACTCGGTCCAGTTGCGAGTGAAATCCACCGACCCATCAAACCGCTTCTGAAACACCTGATACACAAAGCAATAGGGACCATTAGAAAACGATGCAGGTACGGGATGCGTGTGCGGCTCGGAGAAGTTGTGTATCATTCTGTGCGGTACATTTTCACGTACTCGCACGGCGTTCCTGCATCACACGTCAAAATGGTAAGTTCACGTATGGATTTTTCTCGATAAATTACGACAAAAATAGTTATCTTATGAACTCCCAAATTTGTAGGAATTAAGGTATAGTGTGAAGATAACGTTAAGGATGTTATATTAATAAGAATTACCACGGCATGATGGCGATTTTATGCACTTTTTGAGCCTTCACTTCACCCGTTTTTAGAGCTAACAAAGTGACAGAGGCAGCGAAAGTTTGTGTTGTTTCAAGTAGCATCCTTATCGTGAAAAATGAAAAGACTTTGATAAGCCTCGTCGACGCGTCGTGGACAATTTGGGTCAACAATAATGAGCAATAAAATAACAATGTGTAAGCTCATGTTGACAAATGGCTTCCTCTAATGAATGTGATTTTTTTCTTCTAGTGCTAGCCCAAGTTTAGGGCCAGTTGGGAGTGGCCCTAGCCCTAGGCTAAAGTAAACATGCAAAGCAAAAGCTAGACTATGATCTATGATTTCCTTATTTTTTTGTTAGTGTAGCAAATGCTGTATATATTCTCTTTATGAATTATACTGGTGTTTCTTTTGTTGTTTTGGACGAAATAGCACAAGTACATGTACTAAATATTCACACATGTAGAATTAATGCAGCCTACCGTACTCCCTGAGTAGTAACACGAGTGTAGGTTTATAATCAATTAGTCATGCCCTATACTCTGGCTAAACTAGCCCCATTCAATTGCCAAGTATCTTGGAACCAGAAGGGAGCTAGGGCTTAGCCAACCCTTGGCACGTACGTTTGCACCCATACATTTACCAAAAGCTTCAACTAGTCTGTGGATTGAATTACTTTCAGGTCAGGAACCAGCTTAAATGAAACAGAACTGATGAATTCCTGCAAAAATTATTATCTAAGGTAAACAAGAGAGGAACTCCCAAAAAATGCCAAAGATAACTCCAGCAGTCTATGAAGAAGGCAAAGTCCTGGGAAGCTGGTCTTCAATTGGCAACTCGAGGCCTAATTGCCAAAAGTAAAGTAAAGTTTATTTCTTGTTGAGCTGTCATGTTACTTTGTTGGGTCAGTGTAAATAAAAAACAAAAAAGAACAACTGTATATATAATGCAAAAATGTTACATGTATTTCATTGCTGTAGTTGCAATCACCTGTCATGCTTGTGAATTTTATTAGCCACAAGTTATACAAATATGTATTCCACATTTAAACCACCAATTTCATACCTGCATGTCTGACCTGCATGTCAGCGGTCTAACCAGAAAGAAAAACAAACACTTGTTAGCCACAGTGTTGTGCAGTCAAGCTTCACACTACAATGATATCATACTACACATTTGTAATTGTATGATGCACTGCAAATGAAGCGTGAAATCTAAAACTAGACTGTGAAACAGCCAAAGACACCTGAACAAAATTCTTGAAATGTGCAAAACGTGTACTCTAGCAAGTCTATTTTGTGGTTTTTATTGAACAGGGTGTCAAGAGCAACATAACTGCACCTGAGATGATGAGTCTGAAGGATTTGGTCGGAAAATCCTGTGGAAAATGCACGTTCACCCTCGGAGTTATTACATTTATGGAACCGAGCAAAATTTATTATGAATTCAGGTCACCTGACCAGTGAAAAAACTGAGTGATAAATGGGCCACAAAAATTGTGGGTAACCTTTATGAAAATAATTCATGGAAAGAAATAAAAGTGGGTTAACCTTTTGTAATTATTTTACAGGCTGAAATACTTACTTACATTATTTTCTTTTATTTACACCTTCTTGTAGCTGAGCAACAAGCTACAGTTTGGAGCTACCCCGAAGATGTTCAAGAATCAGAGACCCTACAGCAATCAAGAGTAGATTGAGTTGAAGTGACAATACTGCTGGTCTCGCTGTTAGTTGATCTTATCAATATTACAATTAATTATTTTGGATTTACTAATAACTAAAATTTGAGAGAACAAGGACTGTAAAAGGATTATTTGTTTAATATAACTTCATAAATGACATTTTTCTTGCCTTTATTAAGGTAGTTTGCCAAAATGGACTGCTCATCAGTTTCTTAAACATGTACTAACATTCATTTGTGCTGCTTTTTGTTGGATGACACTGTACAATAAATTGCCAATTGTATTCTATTTTTATAGTGAAAATGAAAGTTAAATGTCATTCTCTTTATTATACTAATGTAAACAAATACATTCTGTTGTAATTTGTCTAATATTGGAAGTACGTAAGGTTGGTTAAGTTGGCATACAGCTGAACTCCTCTGTAAATCCAATATGACTTTTTTATTTTATTTTAATTCCAGTATGCTGGGACTGTGCCACAACTTGTTTCTTTAAACAACAGAAAATTTACATATTCAGTACTTAAGGTTGGCTTATTGTGACTTATTATTTAGCTCAAATTTGATAAATACTATTTAATATTAAATTATTAATTATCAAATATTAATTATATGCACTAATTTAGAAAAGTAGTATTATGGCCACCTCTGCAACATTTTCATTTGGAAAATGCAGTCAATTTTATTGAACCAAACATATGTAACCATAATGCCCTTATTGATACTTATTTTCAGGTAGGCCTACATACTTTTTATGTTGTGTTGCTTGAATAAACAAGGGCCAAAATACTGGAGTTGTGTAACAAAAGGCTTCACAGTAATTCCAGTGTATAACAAGTTTTAACATTAAGTAGCTATAGTAGATCAGACCCCCCCCCCCCCCCCGCGAGATGTAAAGTCAATCTATCGAATTGTCATAACCTTACTTAAACGTTAGTATCACACTCTTCAGCACTATTGCTTTTCGCTTGCAAAAAAGTAATAATCCAAAAGAACAAGAAACTATTAGCAGTGTGAGTAGGTTACATATTTCATGTGGCCTTATTTACAAACTTGTCTCAGTCTTCAAGTTAAAACGCCAAAAAAAAGAAAAGGAAGTAAACAAGCCATCCTCGAAAAAGGAAAAAAAATGCACATGAAATAAATAATATTTACCAAATGATACATGTATCAGCCTTGACAATGTTCCATGTATATGTGAGTAAATAATGATATGACATTTATTTGCTTGGCAAGGATTTCTTATTTCGTTGTAAAAAAAACAAACAAAAAAACAGCTCTGATAAAAAAGTTAGGGAGTTACAATTCAGGATAATTACTGAATGATGTTAATAACAACCTTTTATGTTTGACTGAAAAGAGCTCATTATTAGGTTCACCCTTGAAACAGTTTTGTAAAGAAGGCGAGCTAAGATTATAGAAGAAATGAAACGCTCAGTTCCATTTCAGTGGGTTTAGAGGTAGTCTAAGCAATCTACATGTATATTTGTGCACATGTAAGCAAAGTGGATTTAATAGCACTCTCCTGAAATCCATTCATATCTTTTTTCATTTTGAGTATGAAAGTAATCATTACGAAAAGTGAGGGGGAAAAAACAATGTAAATGCAATGTAGTCCGATATTTAGTGGTATTGAAGTGACAGCGCGGCATTCCCGCACAAGTCACGTTTGTGCACATGCCGCAAAATCTAATCCTCTTTTCAACGCATGCGTGTACGCGATACGGAAACGCCGTATTCGTACACGTCTCGCGTACACGCACCGTTTAAATGTTATAAACCAAAACACGATAATTATTTTTTGAGAATTCATAATGCAAGAGATATGATCACTTATCCGCTCTGGTGTAGTACCCGAATAGAGGGCGGCATTTGGCTTTTGGGCAATTGCACCTGAAGTGGCTGATAAATAGGGAAATGTATGAAATCCTCAGAACTACAAGCCTCACAACCATTATGGTATCGAATGAAAGGGGACAACAATGCCTTTTATTTGAGTGATGTGCTAATGAGAAAGAATGGGGTGATTTTTTTTTTTTTTTGTCAAAGAAATGTTTATAGGCTAAAATATAGGTTTTAGGTAGTCCGATTTCGGCATCTTGTTTTCACATGCAAAATGCAAGTGTTATTTAGAGTTTATGTTTTTAAGGCAGAGAGAAAGGTTCGTATTTTTATAAAAATATCACACAGAACTTAGAATAGCATGATTCAGCATGTTTTTATCACGTGTTTGAAATTTATTTCAGACAAGTAACGTCCGTAACGTTATAATTTAACGTCCGTAACAACAAAAGTATGATGTTTCCATAACAACATATAGTTCCTTTTTGTAAAATGCTATTGATGTTTTTAAAGAGTGAACCTATATCTACCTCAACATAGTGAGTTTATCAAAATTCTTGCAAGAAACTTTTATCAACGCGTAACAGCCGTAACGGTCGTTTAATTAAAAATTAATTAATTCAGCTAACCCTAACTTAACCATGTCATGATGTACATTAAGGCCTAAGCTAGATTTGTACCAAATATAAAAAAAAAAATTGCATTCGGCCAAAAAAAAAGTCTCCGATTTCTGGTATGCGCTCGCGTCGCCGTAGCCATGCGCGTCGGCAAAATGAAAAAAAAGTGTTTTTTTTTCAATAAAAGATGATGTCTCAAAACCGCCAAACTCACTGGTTTGACTGGAATCCTGCTGCTGCACAATTTTAACGTGTTTTTAGATGGGGTTATGATCGAGAATAAGCTTTATGTGGCCTCTCTTGACTCCCATATATTTGCACTAAGTTTAGTCGGGCACCATTTGCAGTCATCAGCCGACATTTGAAGCAAACAAAACAGGTAGGCCTTGGCCTAAAAAAAAAAAAAGCCGCGTCGCCGCACCACTTTTTGGGCAAGCTCCATACCAGAAACCGGAGCCTTTTTTTTTGGCCTTACAAGTTTTTACTTTGTTGTTTCAAATTGGTTTTTAGTCTCGAACGATGGAATTGGCCTTTTCCATGTTTTTTAAAAACATGTTTTTTGTTTATTAAAATAAACAAAAACCAATGGAATGAAATGCAGTTTCTTTGAACTGTGTATTGACATAGCTCACAGTTACCTACTCGAATTCACAGCAGGGTCATTTTGATGGTTAAATGCTACTTTTAAACAGGGGCAATTTGAGCAAATACAAATCAAACTTACAATCCAGCCATTGGGTTCTGTATCCATATCGCAGTAAACCTTCATTCGGTTCGTGTAATTCCACTTTGAATATATGGTGTAGATGCCGCTGCTCTTGACACCAAAATTATACAAGCGTTGACAATCTGAAAAGAAAGGTGGAAATAGTTCCTGGTAAAAGAATATAATTCTTAATTAAGCGACCAAGACTTCCCCAAATCAGCCTTCGGGACATATTTCTCTTCTAGCTGAAAGTGAACTTGGCTTCGAGGTCCCAGTGGATGGGTAGGGCTAATTCTCCAAGTATAGAGCCTTAAAGCAAAAGGTCACGGGGCGAGCTTCCGGAACCCTCACGCCGCCCGCCTATATGGGCATTATATATATTGCCCTTTTTTCTTGCTATAATTTTAGAACAGAATAATTTCTAACCGTATAATCACCCCAAGAAACATTCATCATGGAATTTTATCTTGGTATTTCTCACGAAAAAAATAATAAGAAGAAATCACTGGGATAAAACGAATTTTACTCTTTACGACCTTACACATCCGGCATTATCGTTTCCAAGTCTCCGCGTTCGTTCACGTTTGTTTTCACATCTCGTACTTGCGTGACGACGAAAATGTATAATGACACGAAGATTTACCGACCTACAGCCGATGGGTTCTTGATTTAGTCGGGCTGGCTTGAATGCAGTCCTTATCAGCGGTCATTTAAGATTTGTGTTGTAAATGCTAATGAGTCCTTTCCGTTTATTAATATAAAATGTATATCCTAAAAGACATTTTAGCCTCCTATTTAACTTTACCCATATGACCGCCACAAATTATTTATAAATGTTCATCTTTGTACGAGTCCCCCGAGTTCCACTAGTCGTACCAGAAAAATAATGCAAATTTTAGAATTTTGCGCGTTAATTTTGTTATTCAAGGGTTCCGGAAGCGCGCCACCAGGTGTGAACTTTCACGCTCTATTGAACGAACATTTTCAAATAATTTCTTTTTTTAGAAAAAAAGTGCCCGCAGCACCCTTTTTTAAAACCACATTCAATAATCGTTGTTTTCCGAACGATATACCATTACAAGGCGGAATAAGTTCACGGGGTATTTAGTACCAGCCCTTACTTCACTTCACTTCACAGCAAGGTTTATCATATGAAATCGGTAGGTTCGTTTCCTGGTATGTACCAACGATTCTATAGGTGCCTTATATTTGTTTAAAACATAATTATTAAAATAAAAAATGTAGATACAGAATTTAAGCAAACATGTTTTGTCTCATCACAGCAAAACTGAGATATTTTTAGGCCCCTTTCATTTCTCATTTTTATGTAATGTGCTTTGAAATTCATACTTAATTGTCAAGGCTCAAATCCCGATTTTTATCATTTTGTTTGCTTTATTTGTGCGAAAATCAAGTGCAATAATTTCAATGAAATGTTGTTATATACTGTGAATTACCACGTGGAGTGAAACGGCGTAGCTTCATTTGACTGCTCCGCACTACTATGACGTTCCCTGGAACATCCCATTTCATTCCGCGGTATTCCAGATCTGCATTGTCTGGGTGATCCAGAAGGGAATATTCTCCATTCAGATTGCTCCAAGAATCCTGCGGAGATTCACACTGGCCAAACCACCATCCTCCTCCCTCGACCTCAGCACAGTTGATTCCGGCGGAATCGTCGTTGTCTTTATCATACGTCGAAAACGCGTGAGGGGTGTCGATGGAAAGGAAAGGCCAACCATCTATAACAAATCAAAAAGAGCGAAATACTTTATTATGTTAATGCAAGTGAGTCTGGAAAACAGGGGAATGCTTCCTTCTTCTATCGTAATATTCCTTGGACAGTAAATTCAATCTCAAATGAACGTGCAATAAATCAGGAATTCGAAAGCAACTGGTATGAGTAGACTAAGAATATATCTTTTAGGTAAAACACGACGATTAGATAGGATTTTGTTTTTGTTTTTGGTACTCTATTGTAATGTAGAATTGTTGGTATGAAAGGATATGAGGCCATCAAACATAATGGGTTCCAATTTGCAGGGGACCTCATTTTCTGGGGGGAGGGGCATTTAGTGCGTTGTTGCCTTCCTCAAATTCTGTGCAGAGGGGTAGGGGGTTGTGGGGGCGGTCACAGGTCTCAGGGAAGGGGCGTAGGGAGGGGGATGGCAGGTTGGCAGGTGACCCCAAGCCCGCTCTTAGCTACCCAACTGGTTTTGGTCAAATGCTAAAAAAAATTACATTTTGTTCCGTTTCCATGTTATTATTCGGAAGTTGAATACGCCCCTATGGTTAAAATGCATCTTAACAGTAAATCCTTCTACCACCAATTTATAACTGTCGCCCTTTACGCGGAATGGCCACCGGTACGTCATATTCTTATTTGATTTCAATTGATCATCATACACCGCCTCGATCTCAAGTACCCATTGACCTTTCGAAGTTAGTTGACGGACTTTCTCGTTTCCAAGCCAGAACTCTCCCGAGAGTTCGCCAAATCCGTCCTGGTACTTGGTCCAGTTGCGAGTGAAATTCACCGACCCATCAAACCGCTTCTGAAACACCTGTAAAGAGTGTATGGAAAGTAAGTGAATTGTGTAATGAGATAATTATGCTATAAAGTTACTCAGACACCAATAACGAGTTGGCACGGAGTTTCTGTTTAAACTGATAAAAAAAAAATGCATCGGTTCAGTTCGCGTTGTCATGGTATTTGTATTTCATCAATACTTGAGACAGTTTACCCATTGCTATTGGTCAAGAACCAGTCACGTGCAGGTGGTTTTAAACTGCCGGATAAAACACCGTCTGGTTTTAAACACAATTCCTGCGTTCTGCGCCACATCGCGCAGAACGTACAATGCTACTTTATGTGCAGTGGGCGTGGTTTAAACTGAAGCGCCGTCACACTAACAAAAAGTAACGACCGTAACGTTATAATTTAACGTCCGTAACAACAAAAGTATGATGTTTCCATAACATCATACATGTAGTTCCTTTTTGTAAAATGCTACTGGTGTTTCCAAAGAGTCAATCTATATCTACCTCAACATAGTGAGTTCATAAAATTCTTGCAAGAAACTTCACAGGCTTTTATCAATGCATAACATCCGTAACGGTAGTTTAATTAAAAATTAATTAATTCAGCTAACCCTAAGTTAACCATGTCATGAGTTAAGGCCAAAGCTAGATTTGTACCAAATATAAAAAAATTTCATTACAAGTTTTTACTTTGTTGTTTCAAATTGGTTTTTAGTCTCGAACGATGGAATTGGCCTTTTCCATTTTTTTTGTAATAAACAAAAACCAATGGAATGAAATGCAGTTTATTTGAACTGTGTATTGACATAGCTCACAGTTACCTACTCGAATTCACACCAGGGTCATTTTGATGATTAAATGCTACTTTAAACAGAGGCAATTTGAGCAAATACAAATCAAACTTACGATCCAGCCATTGGGTTCTGTATCCATATCGCAGTAAACCTTCATTCTTCTCGTGTCTTTCCACGGATAAATGGTGTAGATGCCGCTGCCCTTGATACCAAAAGAATGCAAGTCTTGACAATCTGAAAAAAAAGGTGGAAATAGTTCCTGGTAAAAAAATATATTCTTAATGAAGCGACCAAGACTTCCCCAAATCAGCCTTCGGAACATATTTCTTTTCTAGCTGAAAGTGAACTTGGCTTCGAGGTCCCAGTGGATGGGTAGGGCTAATTCTCCAAGTATAGAGCCTGAAAGCAAAAGGTCACGGGGCGAGCTTCCGGAACCCTCGCGCGGCCCGCCTATAGGCATTTTATATAGGTTGCCCTTTTTCTTGCTATAATTTTTGAACAGAATGATTTCTAACCGTATAATCACCCCAAGAAACATTCATGTTCGAATTATATCTTGGTATTGCTCACGAAAAAAATAGAAGAAGAAATCACTTGGATAAAACGATTGTAATTGCTAATGAGTCCTTTTCGTTTATTAATTTAAAATGTATATCCTAAAAGATATTTTAGTCTCCTATTTAACTTTCAGTTTTTACCCATATGACCGCCGAAAATTGTTTATAAATTTGTACGAGTCCCCTGAGTTCCACTAGTCCACATGTATTTTAGATTTTCAAAAGTGAGAGGTCACTTTTTGGCACAATAGTAACTATTTTACAAAGGTCTTCTTCGACTGTGGTATTCGTAAGAAATCACTGTACCCAAAAAAATGCAAATTTTAGAATTCTGCGCGTTAATTATGTTATTCAAGGGTTCCGGAAGCGCGCCACCAGGTGTGAACTTTTACGCTCTATTGAATCAAAGATTTTTTTTTTTAGAAAAAAAGTGCCCGATTCTATAGGTGCCTTATATTTGTTTCAATCGTGTTTAGTTTAAAAAAAAATGAAGATACAAAATTTAAGCAAACATGTTTTGTCTCATCATAGCAAAACTGAAGATATTTTTAGGCCCCTTTCATTTCCCCTTTTTTATGTAATGTGCTTTGAAATTCATACTTAATTGTCAAGGCTCAAATCCTGATGTTTATCATTTTGTTTGCTTTATTTGTGCGAAAATCAAGTGCAATAATTTCAATGAAATGTTGTTACTGTGCATTACCACGTGGAGTGAAACGGCATAGCTCCATTTGACTGCTCCGCACTACTATGACGTTCCCTGGAACATCCCATTTCATTCCGCGGTATTCCCGATCTGCATTGTCTGGGTGATCCAGAAGGGAATATTCTCCATTCAGATTGACCCAAGAATCCTGCGGAGATTTACATTGGCCAAACCACCACCCTCCTTTCTCGACCTCAGCACAGTTGATTTCGGCGGAATCGTCGTTGTCTCTATCATACGTCGAAAACGCGTGAGGGGTCTCGATTGAGGGGAAAGACAAACCATCTGTAACTAATCAAAAAGGGCGAAATACTTTACGTTAATGCAAGTGAGCCCGGAAATATAAAATATCGAGATTAGAGGAATGATTCCTTATTCTACCGTAATACATGTACTCCTTGGACAGTAAATTCAATCTCAAAATGAATGTGCAATTAATCGGCATTTCGAAAGCAACTGGTATGAGTAGACCAAGAATATATATTTCAGGTAACACACCACGATTAGATAGGATTTTTTTGTTTTTGGTACTCAATTGTTATGTGGAATTTTCGGTATCAAAGGATATGCGGCCATCAAACATAATGGGTTCCAATTTGCAGGGGACCTCATTTTCTGGAGGGGCACTCAGTGCGTTGTTGCCTTCCTCAAATTCTGTGCGGATCGGGGTAGGGATGTGTGTGTGGGTGGGTGTGGGTGGTGTGTGGGTGGGTGGGTGGGTGAGCTTGTCTTACATACGCAGTGTGGACTTCCGAACAAAAGACGTCCACATAATGTAGGTAGCACCGACGTTGTGTGGACTTGCCCACGTCCACACAGTGTTTCCCCATTTCTGGAAAACAGGTTAGAGGCATTTTTGGGTTAGGTTTATCTGTAGCAGAATGAAGAGAAACACTAAAGGGAATCATAGAAAAAAAATTGGGTTGAAAGAGTTTTCACAGTTTGAGAAAAATGAGTTTTTCACTGGTTTTTCTTAACTACACGAAAGCAATGGAAAGTCCACACTAGTCATGTGAAACAAGTGTGGGTGGGTGGGTGGGTGAGCTTGTCTTACATACGCAGTGTGGACTTCCGAACAAAAGACGTCCACATAATGTAGGTAGCACCGACGTTGTGTGGACTTGCCCACGTCCACACAGTGTTTCCCCATTTCTGGAAAACAGGTTTAGAGGCATTTTTGGGTTAGGTTTATCCGTAGCAGAATGAAGAGAAACACTAAAGGGAATCATAGAAAAAAAATTGGGTTGAAAGAGTTTTCACAGTTTCAGAAAAATGAGTTTTTTCACTGGTTTTTCTTAACTACACGAAAGCAATGGAAAGTCCACACTAGTCATGTGAAACAAGTATGGGTGTGTGTGTGTGTGTGAGTGGGGGGGGGGGGGGCGGGGGCGGTCACAGGTCTGGGGGTGGGGCGGGGGGTGGCAGGTGACCCCAAGCCTGCTCTTATTACTTACACCAATGGTTTTGGTCAAATGCTAACAAATCCATATTTTGTTCCTTTTTCATGTTATTATTCGGAAGTTGAATGAGTACGTTTCTTGATAAGAAAAATGGATCTTACTAGTGAATCCTTCCACCACCAATTTATAGCTGTCGCCCTCTACGCGGAATGGCCACCGGTACGTCATATCATTTGATTTGAATTGATCATCATACACCGCCTCGATCTCAAGTACCCATTGACCTTCCGAAGTTAGTTGACGGACTTTCTCGTTCCCGAGCCAGAACTCTCCCGAGAGTTCGCCAAATCCGTCCTGGTAATCGGCCCAGTTGCGAGTGAAGTTCACCGACCCATTAAACCGCTTCTGAAACACCTGTGAAGAGTATACATGGAAATTTGGCGAACGTGTAATGAGATGTTGAGTATGTTACAAAGTTACCCAGAATACCGAGTTGGGAACAGAGGTTCTGTATAAAACCGATAAAAACGTTGTATTTATTTATTTGTATTTTCATTTTAACAGGGTAGCCTCGTTGGTTCTTAAACACCTAATACATGTACACAAACCAGTGTTATAAACCAAAATGCGATAATTATCTTTGATAATCCATAACACAACAGACGTAATCACTATCTGCTCAGGTGCATTACCTATAGAGGGCGGCATTTGGTTTTGGGACAAATGCACGCAAAGTGAAACAGCTAACAAAATGGAAAATTTATGAAATCTTCAGAACAACAAGCATCGCAACCTCAAATGTGATATCAAATGAAAGGGGGCAACAAGGCCTTATATTTGAGTGGTGTGCCACTCACTGACGCCAGTGAGAAACAATTTGGTGAAATGTATTTGTTTTGGTCAAAAATGTGGTTTGTGGGCTGAAATTTATAGGTTTTAGGTACTTTTGGCATCTTGTTTTCACATGCAAAATGCAAGTGTTATTCTGCGTTTTTGTTTTTAAGGAGAGAAAGGTTCAAAATTTAAGAAATTATCGCCCATAACTTAGAATAGCATGATCCAGTTTTTTTTTTATCACGTGTTTGCAGTTGATTTTAGACACGTAACGTCCGTAACGATATAATGTAACGTACGTATAAAAAAAAATGATGTTTCCATAACATCCAAGCTCCTTTTTGTAAGATGTTACTGGTGTTTTTATAGAGTGCACCTATATCTACCTCAACATAGTGAGTTCATTAAATTCTTGCATGAAACTTCACAGACTTTTATTAACGCGTATATACTGAGAAAACAAAACTCTCTGCTTATATCTCATTAATTAATTCAACTAACATTACATTAACCATGTCATGTTGTACATAAAGGCCTAAGCCAGATTTGTACCAAACAACTAGAATTTCCTTTCTCTGCAAATATTTTTCTTTTTCTTGCTTCAAATTGATTTTAGGCTCTTAACGCTTCGGCCGTATATAACGATGGAATTGCCCTTTTCCTTTTTTTTAAATCAACAAAAACAAAATGGAATAAGATGCAATTTCTGTGAACTGCGTATTGACATAGTTCAAAGTTACCTACTCGAATTCGCACCAAGGTCATTTTGATGATTAAATGCTACTTTTAAACAGAGGCAATTTGATGATATCGGTACAATGTTGACTTTGGGCTTCCAAATGTTGTGATGTCATCAAACCGTAAGTTTGGTTTTATTAATACATACACTTAACATCCATTATATTTCCAAATGTTCAAAAGTTCTTTTCACTTCATGATGAACATGTAGCATCTTTGACCTAAATCAGAATTCATTTTGCACTTTCTAACTGATTACGTCATCAAACCGGAAATAAAGGGTGTCGTCCCCCACCCCCACCCCCGAACTCTCAAAACGTCTTCTTTTTCACAGCTTCTAAAACTACATCGCAAATATCGATTCATATTTGAAGGGCATAGATTCATTTTCAACAACGAAAACGTTTTTCCAATCAGGTAAATGTTTATTGAGTTATGGCCAATTTAAAACAAGTGCTGCTTTTTCATTTTGTCCACGGCGACTGATATCACAAAACGAACAAGCGCCGAACCGTGCACCGTGAAAGAGGCTACCAAGTAGAGGGCAGAGACAGAGCAGCACAGTAAACATCTAAGAATTAAAACAAACATTCCTTTTCAGTACTACCATTTCTTCCAAAAGGAGGAACGACCTTTATTGCCAAAAAAAAAAATAAAAAATAAAAAAGAACCAAAAAAAGAAAGAAATATTAAACAAATAAAGAAAGCAAAACTACCCTTACCCCAAAACCATTACATTCCCGATAAATGACAATTAAGACCGTGGACAATTGAACTGTTTTAATTTGCCATAACTCAATAAATAATTATCTACCCGATTGAAAACGACTTTTTCGTTGTTGAAAGCTAATGAACTGTACTCTCAAATATGTATCGATATTTGCGATGTACTAAAGCTGTATAAAAAAAAGAGGGCGCTAAGAGGGTTCGGTTGTTTTCGAACACCCTGTATATTGAAATTTATCATTACCAAAAGATGCATTTTTTCCCAAAACAAAATAATAAAATGATTGTACTGGAAAGAGTAAATTTTGTGATTCTATTATATCAAAAATATTCAAAACTGTTGCCTCCCGATCCCTCTGCGTCTGTAACTCGACAAACGCGAATCTCTATCTTTTTTTGAGGGGGGGGGGGGGGGGGCGGGAAAGTGAGGGGCACATTTTTTTCATACTGACATCATATTGCGCTTTGGCGCGCTGTTCTAAACCATTCATATACATATTTATGTGCATATAACGTTTTAGGGCCATTGCCGAGGGGTTGAAGTCTTAATTATAAATTAAATACACATTAAAATGTTGACCTCGACATTCTTCTTTTCGATTACTTTTACTTCCATATTTTCCTTTTTTCTCTTTTGTTTGATTTGTTCGGGGGGGGGGGGGGTAAGAAAGACAATTAGGGGGGGGGAGGGGTAAATGCCCTCCCCCCCCCCGTAGCGCCGTCACTGTTTTCACTTCAGATACCTCTATGAGCTATTCTGAAAGTAAACCCCTACCATGTTTTACTTGTAAAATGCAGCATGATTTTGAGAAAATAAGGGGTTTCACTCACTATGTATCCTTTCCCCGACTCCATGCGGCAGTAGACCTGCATATTCTGTCCTGCGTGCAGGATGGTGTACACACCGCTAGATGTCTGACCGGCATCCAAGATCTCTTGACAATCTGCTTGCGGCTCAGTCGGCTCAGAGGTGATTCGAATTCCGTGCGTCGTCTCCTCCACTTTGCCCGTAGTGCATTTGAACCAACGGCCGATGACGTCAGCAGTCACCTCCGGCAGCATGTCTATATACACCGGTGGATCCTGTCCCTGCATCTCAGGTGCGTAGCGGTGGTAATGACCGCCCTGTCTGACACCTGTACAGGTGCAAGGATCCCCCGGTGGCAGGACATATCTCCCCATGCGCTGGCCGCAACCGCGTGAGTCTAGGTCAATCATCAGAGTACAGACTCGGGCCGAGACTGAACTGACCACTGTATTATTCAGTGAAACAAACAAACAAACAAACAAACAAACAAACAAACAAACAAACAAACAAGCATGCAAGCGAGTTAAAACATATCGTGTGAAACCACAGGGCAGGAAGAGAGAAAAATGGAGCAAGGTGCACCTAAGCCTGATGCAAGGAATCTGTTGACCAAATTGCAACGAAATTGCAAGATGAAAAGAAAAAAATCTTTTCAGAAAAATCCAGCTGTGCCGAATGACGAAAAAGATAAATATTTTCCAAAATGAAGGGATCTTTTAAACCTTAGAGATCTTAAATGCCTGGATAGATTCAGTGGTAGACGTATTTTCAAACTTCGCACTTCACAACGTAAAGTGAAATAATATGTTGTTATAGGGCAATCGTACCAGATGGACTCTCAAAGCGCTTAACATAATTATTACCCCTGCTCGTTGGGCTCATAAAACAACCGTCTCAGCTCCCTGGGTAGTATACAACACAACGCTTCCATTTAGGTGCAAAGCAGCCAAAAATTAACCACAAAAAATGCTGCCCAGGCTCACAGTTATACCCATTTACCAATGGAAAAACAAGAAGTGAGGACAAAATATCCTGCCCAAGGACACACGCACCGCAAGCCCAGGATGGACTCGAACCAACAATCTGATTGAACAATTAACCACAGATTTTGAGTTTGATGCTGCAGACCATGAGGCGACGCCACTCTACTTATTAATTGAATACAAGAGAGCCGTATAAATATAACGTTGCAACTGAACGAACTTGATAATTAGTAACGTACCTATAGCAATTAGTGTTGTCAGCAATGCATTTAAATTCCAGCCCGATGCCATGGCTTGATGGCCACTTCTCAAGTTAAACATCTGAAGAAAAGAAAAAGAGTCAAACATGACATATGGTTGGAGGCAGCAAAGAATTTTAAAATAAACCACTGTCGGGTCTATGATTGTTCAATGAACAGAACATAGGGCTTTACAACATAACGATTATTCATAACTCTATGTCTGTGCAGTCCGGTAAAATATCAATTTCATGTATGACCAAAGTTCCATGAAGTCTCGTAGTTTTTTATGGGAATTTAAGATGGCGTCACATGACCCATGGTAATGTCATTATGAAATCAACTCCATTTCTTGCCAATAACACGCCCTTATTTACTTTCATACCGAGTCACAACCCGGTCGGACTTGTAGTTCTCTAAATATAGGACTTTAAATTATACACCTTTATGATGACGTCCCATGACCTATGGTGTTACCATGACATAGGCCTAATGTTTCGCGGCGGACCGTCTTAATAATAATACCGGAGTCTTATAGCGCACAAATCTACTAACAATTAGGTACTTCATCCCGTACCTTTTCTTTGTCGTGTTTACACATCACTTTATGCTTTCTTCGATACTTTGAAAGCAACAATAATCTATTTGTTTGTCGGATTCCATTGCTTTATCTTTGCAGGCCTGGTTAATTGAAATTGAACAATTTCGTGTGCCAAGAGAAAAGACGTTAGCAGCCGAGGCACGCAAAAAAAAAAACTTTTGGAGATAATCGAGTTTAAACGCTTTTGTGCTCCCATCTCTAAATTAGAAATCACATAAGGCTGACACTTATGACTTGTGACATTTGTTAATAATTCGAATAAAATTGTGCATATTTATTCCAAAATGTTACTGACCACTACTGTCAATATCTGTGCACTATAAACAAATCGTTGGATGAACAACCCTCTATGTCAGTTTGAAATCTTTCTTGTATCGCGCGCTTTACAGGACCATGCTACAGTTTGCGACGGTTTGTATAAGTAATACTATCGATCGATATTCACGGAACTGTTTGCTGTCTATCAAATTCGGGTTGTGAAGTGATCGGAAGACTGAAAACTCCCGTTACTTAATCTTTCTGATTAGTCGCGTTGACAAGAATTGTTTGTTTTTATTTGACAATCTCAACGAATATCTTCCCACAGAAATACAATGTGTATCCGAGGCATTGTCGAGGTATAACACACAAAAAGCTAAACGCAGCTTAGTTCCATTGTGGTCATCTACATTCAAAAAGTACAATGGTTTCAATACATGAAATTAAAACATAAATGAAATTAAAACATACTTCCACAGACAGACATTACATTGTATATCCAAAGCATTGGTGAGGATAACACAAAAAAGGTGGTTTGAAATACATTCATAAAAAGACCGAGGTTCAAAATACTTTCATAAAATAAAATTACGAGAAGTCAAATTGCACATGACATTTAGGCAGATGAAATTGTAATAAAACACAAAATAAGTGCGGACACCAGTTGGAGAAAGTGAGGTTCCCAATAGAATCAGGACCATTGATCCTTTATGCCCTCCCCCACCCCACCACAAATGAGAGGCGTATCCAGAAGGAGGGGGGAGGGGGGCATCTTGCCCCCCGGGGATTTTTTGGAAAGATTTTTTAAGTAACTATTTTCATCAAAAGTGTCCGGAGAAAAAAAACATGTCTACATTTTCGGCGCGGATGTGCGAGTGCGGTTGCCCCCCGACATGAAAAGCTGGATACGCCACTGACCGCAATGGTATCGCATTTTCCGCAGTTGCCTCATTATGTATGACAGCTCGATCAATTTGTTGTTCACCATATTATCAGGCAAAACGACTTTTTCATAATTACAAACGTCAAAACCGAATTGGCAATTGCCAACAAATGGCATGACTTATTATTTATTTATTTAGTAGACGGTTTTCAATTTTAAGTCTGATTCAGTATTCTAGAGGCAGCCTCCCACATACATTTCAAGGGTATTTTTTTCTGCCACGAGTCAAACACAATTAATTCATGCATCGGGGGTGATTCCTTTGCAGTCATTAAACGTTTAGCAATCATAGCGAATACGACTGGGCAAGCTAGTAGTTATACTGCATTATATATGATAGCAGGTTATGTGTTTTCTTATCAAAAACCTCTCGATGTCAATTAATATTTGGAAGCACAAGTTAATGGTTTTGTCTCTTTGTGTCAATTCCCGTGCTTACTGCATTATGTATGACATGATTTATCTGCGTATCGCAGGCTGAGCAACAATGCTTCAATAGACAGGCTTTATCATCACGGGTTATATTTTAAAGATTATATCCATGTAATGCATTTTAACCCTCAGTGAATTTTTGGGTAACATATCACTCTTCTTAAAATAAGCAGATACACCTTAGTTTAATTTGTTTTCAAAGTGTAATTTTCACCCTTTCTTTTCCATGTTAGTTTCTGAAAATTTAGGGGTCTGTTGTAATATGCTTCTCCAGCTTTAATTTCAAGAAACTATGTAGTATTTCCACTTTTGATTTTAAAACCAAGCTCAAATTGATCTAGATGTATTTCTCTCTCCATTACAAATTAAGCAGGAATGATAATTTTTTAACCCCCTTTTTTAATGTAATGCTCCCGTCCTTCACAGTAAAAATTAACATGACGGCCCTTTTTCAAAACTTGGCTTCGTTTCCGGCAGGGTTCGACACAGACTGGTGCCTGGAGTGTTCTGAAACGTGTAAAACTAAACCAGGCCCACTTTACTCACTCTTTAGCCAGCAAATTTCTCCAAAAATTCCACTGGGCAAAGAAAAGGTCCTCTGAATTTCACCAACCAAATTTGCAGACTCAATTCAATGTTTAAAGGAGACATTTCATCAATATTTTGCACATGAGAGGGAAGTCAAGTGATTTCAAAATGAGGCTAAAGACTAGACTGGTACATGTCCAACCATGGTCCAACTATTTGAAAAGACTGACCTGTTTATTCATAGTCATTTGTCTGGTGGCTGACTATGGATAAATGTGTAGTAAACATAGAGACAAGTTCCCGGTTCATGCCACACGTTTCTTTTGGCACAGTTGATCGATGCAGTACTGCCGAAGAGTTGTTGGACTGGTTGTTTCAGGTGCCAGTCTATTTTCTTGTATTGCATGTTTTCAATTCCTTAGGTTTTGGGACTCTCATACACAGTATTGAGAGTCCCAAATTTTCGGACTAAAAATACAACATTTGCAAACATCAAAAATAAAACTACCAAGTTGTTACGAAATACCTTACTAGGATGTTGGTAAATGACAGTCTAAAGCATCATGTAAAATTAGGGGCCCTGGTGTGAAGTTATTTTCAAGAAAAACATTGTACTTTTGTATACATTTCCAACGGTGGTCGGCCGACCACCGTTGGGAAAAACCTGACTATTTTTCAACTACTACTCCTAATTTACCATTTTTTCCGTCCAAATTTTGTTTGCTATTGGTTCCATGTTCATGAACGGGTGCAGGCCAGCTAGACTGATTCCCTTACAATTTTCCGGTATTTTTTTATCCATTTCATCTTTAGTGGAGTCAGGGAAATAGACTACTTGAACATTTTTGTTTTTCATGGTTTTAACAGCATTTTGGAACACAAAACTTCAAACGTGTGAGTGCAACAATATTTGATCTATTATACTAACCCCACAAATAGTTCATTTCTGAAAATTACAGCAAAAGCCAATGATGTACATTTCCTCTAACTCCTTTTTGCCACTAGCCAGCCGGCCTACTGAAACAGACTCTTAACTAACCCGCGGGCATATTCACTAATCCGCATGTATTTCTTTTATAGTGTGTCTCATAAACAACAATGTGCATACATCTAAAACGTGTATCCTGAGGCAATCTTGTCAGTGTTTTTTTTATAAACAGATCTTATAATTTAACACCAAACAGTTAATAAAATTAGATACAAGTTGATGCAGGTTTGCTTTCTGAATTTAATGATTTTTTTCTTCCTGTCCTTTCATCTTTGCTGTATCTTAATAATTTTTACTAAATGTCAGTGTTGTAGGTCTCGAGACCGGTCTCGGTCTCGGTCTCGAGACCACTTTTTTTCCGGTCTCGGTCTCGGTCTCGGTCTTGGGAGCTGTGGTCTCGGTCTTGCTCTCGGTCTCAGTCCCCTTTGGTCTCGATAT